TGGGCTGGCCCCTTTTTTGGCTCTTCTTTATTTGAATATCTACTCAGATTTCAAGTATGATGCCTCTGAAGTTTCTCGACATTTCCCCGTCTTAATGAAATCCCTATTCTGCATCCACTGCATCATGTTCTAGACCCCCCCTCCACCCCGCATTTATAGTACTGGTTTCTGTATAGATTTGTCTTCCTTTTCTAGTCTCAGCGTCTGTTGTAGAGATGGTTTCTCATTTGTCTTGATGAATCCAGGGTATAGCATGGTACTGTATATGTAATAGGCACCACTAATAGTTTTTTGGTTTTTTTGTTTGTTTGTTTGTTTGTTTTTAAGAATGAATGGGTTGGGGCACTTGTGGCTCAGTCAGTTGAACCTCTGACTCTTGCCTTCAGCTTGGGTTGTTATCTCGGGATTGTAGGATTGAATCGCACATCAGGCTCCACACTCTGCAGGGAGTCTGCTGGAGTTTCTCTCCCTCTGCTCCTCCCCCATCTCTTTCTCTAAACTAAATAAATCTTTAAAAAAAAAAAAAAAGAATGGATGGGTTATGTGCTAATTTGGGGGTGGGGAGAGATTTTGTGTTCTATTTGATTTTGTTATTTTCAACCAGTAGAATATGAATGTGGTTCTATAATCTCTATTTTTTATTTCGAGGCAAAAGTGATTCCTATAAGCATATCTTATTTCTGTGAACAGATTTTCTTTCAAACTTAAATATCAAAGGAAAAGCATTTCGTTTTATGTATTACTGCTTATAAGATACATTTAGCCTTAGCTCTGGAGATTTGTCAAAGGAGGTAAACATTATAGAATTGTACCTAATGTAAATTAGATGTTCAGTAGACATTTGTGTGGTAAATATACCGTAAATAGAACTATTCACTTTATGATTTAATTTTTTCTTTTCTCATTTTAGCATTTATGACATTAACAGAGAACAGGACTATGTCAAGAATTCTGGGGGTATACTTGGTGAAAATGAATTAAGACCACCCTCCCAGCTACATTCTCTCTTAGAGAAGACCGAGCCAGGGTTCATATCAGAAAAGAGTGGGTATTAAACTAAATGCTATGAGGTATTACTAATGAATTTGAGTAGAGCAGTACAATTTAAAAAATTTTAATTTAGATCATGTAAAATGAAAGGACATTTTTAAAAAATTTACAATTTCCAGTGACTACAAATTTCATTGATCCAAAATTAATAGGTGATTAAATTTTCAAATTCCATCAGAAAAGGTTCAGGGGAAATTGTCACATTTCTCTATTTGTATTTCTTTGAAATTATGATTCATTTTACTTGATTTGGAGTTGAGATATTTTAAATACTAGAAGTAATACATACTGTGTAAGAAAAACCTAAATTATAGTAATATATATAAGGTAAAAAGTTTGAGTTCACCTTTATCCACTTCCATTTGAATAACCATTGGTTTAGACACCGTTAACAGTTTGGTTTCCCATCTTTCTGGATCTTTTTCTGTAAACTTTAAAACACATAATTTTCTATGTTCTTTTTTTTTTTTTTAAACCAAAATGACATTATATGATGTGTGTTATTTACTCAGTGGTAGAGTAGATATCTTTATATGTCAATGTATATAGATTCACTTGGTATTTATGTAGTAGTTGTAAGGTGTTTCCTTATTGATGTCAGTTTGGGTTATCCCAAGTGTTTTTGTTCTTATAGATGCCAGTGCGTGGAGTAGCCTTGTCCGTATCTCCTGTGTACTCATGCTAGTATTCCTAAGGAATAGATTCCCAGAAATGGAAAGGTTATCAGGTACACACATTTAAGTTTTTGTTAGGTCTTCCAAGTTGTGCTGTAAAAAAGTTGTATTTACCTTAAACTGGCAATCCCTCAATGTCTTAAAAATAAAGGCAATACATTCTGGGATTAGATGATTAGGGAATGGGCTCTTTAACAACTATCAAAGGACCTACTTAGACTGGGCCAAATATGTAGGCATCGACGGTGTTAATGGAGGTAGGTTGCAGTCCGTCTGTAGGAAAAACTAATAAGGGCCTGTAATGGCAGATACTGTTGGGTTCTGAGTGTTTCTGTCTTTGATGAGTGCTACTGTATGATGTCCAAACAGGAGAAGCGGTCATGAAAGTCCTGGGGAGACGTAGAAGTGGCTAATTTTTGTTAGAATTATTGTGACACCTAAGTTGTTGGCATTAGTTCATCTCATTATTTTCTTTCAGACCAGACGCTTAGATAATGGAAAACACATACATGTGCCATAGCATCAGAGATCAGTCTATAATTTTCTAATCCCTCTTACTTATTAGAAGTTAAGTAGAGAAACAAGTGCCCAAAAAGCAGACACTCCATATCGCTGATGGATTTTGAGAAAGGGGGAGATTATCTCAGTGCACTTTGAACAGAATCCAGCTTATGTCAAGCTGGACTTAACTTTTAAAGACTGAATCCACAAACAGCGGAGAAATATGCCTAAAACTAGGTGCTAAAGGAAAGAATATTAACTCAGTTTCTAGAAGCATTGTTAGTGAACTTGAATTTTCCCCACTTGTTCTCTCTTGGTCACTTAAGCTCTAAGGGACACTCTTACACTTTACAGACAGGTACTTTTCAAGTTGTTTTAGTATTTCTCTGTAGAATAGCCCCCTCCTCATTCTCTTAATATTCTGACAACCTTGAATGTCTAAGTGAAGCATGTGTATTGCTCAGCAAAAATGCAGCCACCCATTAATTTAGTGCCCATACTGTTCTGTATACTAGTTTGACTCTAAATGAGAGCATTGTGTAAGAAGAGATAATATCTTGATAAAATGTTCACCTATCTGCTTAGTTATATAGCAGGAAACTTGTGCTTTCTAGAGTGTAACTGACATCATTCTATTATGAAATCGTGAAAGAGTCCAGATTTACCATGGATTTCTATCAGTTTTCACTTTGGACATGCTTTTCCTTCTGCTAACTGTAAAATGGTTACTTGTATGAATATATTGCTGTTTGGAGAATGCTGACCTAAAGGGGAAGCATTTTTAACTATCAATAGTTTTAGAAATAAAAATATGTTAGCACAAAATCATTTCCTATGTTTATTTTAGGCTGTCATCTCTGGTCATAGCTTTATGAGAACAGTATTCCTCATACTGGTCAATAAAGTGTTCTCTGACCACCTGTATTTGGCAGACATGGTGTTAGATGGGCTGTTTTTGTTTGCTTTTCAGAGTACATTATTTTTCATAGTTTTTCATTTATTACTGTGATTGGCCATCAAAAATGTGGATGTATGTCGTATTTGGTACTTTCAGAAGTTAAAACCTATGTCTTCGTATTAACATCGTGTGGAATTTAAGAGTGGATAGCCATAGAATGGTCATTTCCAAAGCTCTGACAACTTTTATCTTTCTCTGTAAGCAACCTATTTCTCAAATATTGAGCCTCAGAGTTTACTTAGATTTTTCAATACTATTTTGCCTTTTTACAAATATTAAATACAAGGTTTCCCATATTAGGATTTTTAGAGGACTCCCAACTTGCATTTGGGCTAGTTAGTGGTGCAGCTACTTGTAACGCCAGAGTCACAAATGCATGGGCCTCCTAGTTTGTTTTGAGCCAATGTAGCTAAAGAAGGTAACGTAGCTAAAAAGGCATCATTTTAATTATCCTCCCTGTTGTTTTGCTATTTGAACCTCTTTAGACTATCCGTATTTTTAATAGCATTCATATACTGATTTTGAAGGAAAAGTGAAACAGGAAAAAAAAATCGACATGGATCAGATGTAGGAACTTCAGGATATTCTTAAATGTTTCATCCTCTTTTCTTTCCTTCCCTGCTACTTAAGTCTTTGACTTTTGATACTGGCAGTTTATTAAAGCGTGTTTAAATTACTTGGATAATTGAAGTGTTAGGACAGTTTCGTCCAAATTAACTTCACTGAAATGTTTGTTTTCATTTCTATGATAGTTTAGTTTTTTACTGTTGTTCATAAGTTAATTTTAATTAAAATGCTTGTCTTTCCTTTAGCTTTTGAACTTTAATGTAATTGGCAGAGTTCTGGTAAAAGCAAGAAGCCATGTTAATGTATTTATTTATTTATATTAGATCACCAGAACTTCCAGTGCTTGTATATTAGTCCATTCTCTTTATTATTTGTAAATAGTTTGTTACCTCACTGTCCTGTCCTGGTTAAAGAGCATAGAGAAGACACAAATATAAGAGGGTAACCAAATCAGTTTTAAATATTACAGGAATTCATTAGGCTCAAGTCTTGCTAAAGTAAAAACTTGTAAAACAAAAGGCACAAAGCCTCAAGCGAATTATTGGGTCAAGTCAGTAATTCTCAAATAGGAAACATGCCTCTCGGGAGGGTCATGTCAGAATTTCTGGGATAGCATGTGGGTAGGGTTTGAAAAAAGTACTTTCTAAAAGTAATAAAGTTTTATTTTTGTGAAATAAAAAAAGTAATGATTTCATAATATAACCCATAAAGGTAGAGTCCAGCAGATGTGTCTAGGCCATGAGGAAGCCCCAAAGACAGAACAATTTCTAATGTGTTTGAGTGTTGAGTGTGCAATAGTAGGCCCCTTAAAAGGAAACCTAATGGGCTTACTTGGGGGAATTGATAAGAAGACAGGAAGGGTAAGTTTATCAAAATGTGGCATAAGTGTAGACGAGGAACATTGTTCTAAGTGATTGCTGACCACTACCTTGATGCTGCCATATTTGATCTGCTTGTCCCCGCTGTGGTTACAACACACGGCTTTCAACCAAAAGGCCCAAGGCATCTGGCAGGGTTTATTTTACTCCTGTATTGAAAGTGATTCGCCCTCAGTAACTCACCTCCCGTAGATCATGTTCTTCAGGTGAGAGGTCTTTTAAGATAGTACATGTAATGGAGCCCGAACACAATGTGTCTCAGTTTTACAGGAAGGAAATAGATGAAGTATTCAGTGACATTTAGTATGCCGCTTTTAACCCCATCCTTTGGTTATCTTAAACAGTTGCATTATTTTTGTTTGTGTTTTACAGTTTTTGAGACAGTGTCCTTGAGTTCAGACTCTCTCTTCCAGAGGGCAGTTTCAATTCTTCATACTTCTTACTTGGACTCTGCATCTGAGCATGGTTTTCAGTACAGTCAAGTGACTTTGGTGAAAAATGACATTTTCTTAAATGAGGTGAGGTGCTTGGTACACACTGTGTCTGTGTGTTAGTTTTATTTTAGTTCTAAAGAAATAGACCCATCATTTTTGGTATAAAAGCTTATCTAGTTCTTCTCAACTGTCACTTTCAGATGAGATGAGAAATCCTTGGAAGGTAATTAAGAATATATTCTAGGAATAGAAGAATAATAAGTTTTGGTAGTCCTTTAACAGGAGGAATTCAGATGATGCATTTTTAAAAATTAATTTGCAAGGCAAAATAATGTTTATAGCATTTGATTATTCTCTCTTTTATACAGTACAAAACTTTTTACCAAGAAAAAAAAGCAAGTAATTATACTCAGGAAGAACTTCAAGAGACTTATGGGTTTCTTCTGTTTGAAACTGAAAATCAGGTAAGGGAATTAGGTCATATGTGATATTAATATACAAAATTAATGATCTCATTAAACTTAAATATTGGCATTTCGCTTCTCTAAGATTTGTAAAATTACCAGTTCTCCAGTCTTTTTTGTTGCTGAGTCGGGTGGCAGTGGGAATGATCGTGACAGCTCGTCCTGAAAGTGACTGGATTCCTGCGCCTTTTCACAGGCCCTCATTGTAAATACATTTGTCAGCTCAGGGTGAGATTTGAATTAATGCGGATTTCCTAAGTATTGGTGATGCCTTTTAATGGAGTAAATGAGTATTTCTGCATTCTGGATCATTGTTCACATAGATACTTTGTTTCTTGTGGAGGTTTTTCAAGTTTCAGTGACATGGTTTTTGGGGATAAGGTGAAAACTTCCAGCAGTTGCCTTACTTGAAATTGGAGCTTCTGTACTGTTGCTTGAACCCAAATTGTGAGAGAAGGAAACTACTGGGTGGACCGTGTCCCCAAAGATGTATGTGGCTTGCTAGGTACAGTTTTAACAATACCAGAATTTATAATTCAACTTAAATAATTTAATATTTTGATTGGGTTCATGATTTTTAAAGAACAAGGGTAGACTTGCTTACAGAATACTTAACGTTAGCATATAACATAAGGATTATATAGTAATACCAGAAGAGTTCATTTATTTATTTAATCATCTACTTACAAATAAAATACATTATGGATTCATACTAAAAAAGGCACTAGTGGAGAAGACATTTTCAAATTTAGTGATTCCAAAGCTATAATCGAGATCTTCAAGCGAGGACTTATCTGGGAGCTTGTTTAATTTGGTTTTGCTGATGATGTTTTTGTTAAATGATTAAAATTTCGTGAACTATTAACCAAATACAGTTGCGTCACACAAGCTTGCTTTGTGCCATACATAGATACTGTGTACAGATTCTGTATTTATTTGAAAGCTTGTAGATTATAGTGTTATTTGATTGTCTCTCCTAAGACTGACAGGGTAAGCAAAGTACCGTCTTTTATTTAAAGGCAAAGTCAGTATGTCAGCGCGGACTCTGTGTGGGCTGCAGTACTGTTACCACGCTTGGTGACCCAGCCAAAGGTAAGTCTGTGCGGAAAAGAGAATCTCTTCTTTCACGAGGTGAAGTGAGGTTTGGTTCATTTCATAGATACTTACATTAAAAGCCAGTTTCATTAGTGATAAATCACAATCTTTAGAATCAGTGCTTTAAACATAGAAATGAGCTTCAAGTCTAAGACCTAAGATTTTCCAGTAGGGGTACATGATCAGAACTTTTTCTTAAATGTTGGTTGGCCTAGAAGAGATACTAAAAATAGCTTTCGGTACCAAGAGACTAGTGTGGTCATCTGGGCTAATGAGGACGTCTTCTGAGCTATCATAATGGCAGCAGGAATAGAGAATCGATGGAACTGGCCAGACTTGGCAACTGTGGAATGTGAGGAGTGAGAGAAGGAATAATCAGGTATAAGCTTGTCAGCTCACACTGCGGTGATGTTGTCAGTGGAGAAGAGACACAGAAGGAAAGGAGATCGGCAGGGAAGCTGAGGCGTTAAAAGGGAAAGGTGATCTTAGGGTTAAGAATGTGAATTAGCACTAAATTTCTTTGAGCTTCAAGTTCCTCATCTGTGAAATAGAACTGTCTTTGAGATCTGCTGGGAGGGTCATGGGAGGCTGTGGGAAGCACTTAGCTCCCGGTACATGGACGCTACTACTTCCATGAATTAAATTTGAGAAATAGTGGATTTTCCTAGGTGTTCTGGGAGATACCCTGCTGATGGTTTAAAAAGAAAAAAAAGCTGGAAAAAAGGATTAGAACTGGAGATGGGGGCTCAAAGTGGCAGGACTAGATGTTGGTTGAAGCCAAAGGTACTGTTGTGTGAGACAGTATTGAAGGAAAAGGACAGGACTGTGGGTGGGTGTGGGACCTGGGGGCCAGGGGGTAAGGAGAAAGTCCAGTGGAGGAAGAACTGGGGGGGGAGCAAGGGTATTTAGCACAGTTGGGTGCTACCAGCGTAGAGGTCAGGAGTGGCTTGCTTCCTGCTGACTTTTTCACAGCTCTGTCGAGATAAAATTCACGCAGCCTGTAATTCACTCATTTCAAGTGTACAGGTCAGTTTTTCTTAATGTATTCATGGAGCAGTGCTACTGTTAGCACAGACTCTTTTCATCCCCCAAAAAGAAGTCTGTGCCTGTTCGCAGTGACAAGCCATTCCCCGCCACGACCGGCCGAGGCCGCTGCTCACCTGCTCTCCAGCGCTCCGGGTCTGCCTCATTCAGACGTTCCATGTGAACTGACTCCTCCGTGATGCTCTGTGACTCCTTTTCCCAGTTCAATGTGTTCAGGGCTCATCCACGCTGCAGTTCGTACCCATGCTTCATCTGCCCTTTGGCTGGATGATACCCCGTTGCGTGGTTTTACCACGTTTTTTCTTTATTCTTTCAATGCTTGAGGGACCTTTGGTGGTTTGCACTTCTTGGCCGTTGGGGAGCCGCAGCTGTGTGCCTTCGCGTACAGGCTTTTGTAGAGACGTATGTTTTGCCGCCTTTTAGGTCTAGATGCAGCAGTGGGATTGCTGGGTTTTGGGGTCACTTTGTGTGACACAAAAATGCTTTAAAACTTACATTCATGTCTTCTAAAGGCCGTGATGGGGAATACATTCATAACCCTGATAACATCTTCCATTAAACCTTCTCTTCTCCCTACTCTTTTTCATTGTAAAACATAACTAACGCAGGAAGAGAAGATGGTGTAGTGTACCGATCCCCTAGGTTTAACAGATCTGGTTTGCATTATTCCCTCCATTTGGCTAACAAAATTTTGTTGTTGAAGAATGGGAAAGTAAATTACAAGTAAATACTTTAGCTTTCATCTCTAAAATATAAGGCCCTTGTTCTACATGACTCTAATCCCTGATTATATGGTTGATAAGAGGCTGGCTTCAGTGGGGTGCCGGAGGAGAAACCGAATTATTCCTAACAAATACACGTACTGTTATTTCTTCTTAACCATGTTCTGGGGTGGGTAGGAAAATAGCACTGCTGCCCACGTGTATTTTATAGTTTGGGGCTCAAATAGAAATGGTTAGTTCTGTGTATCATAGTAATATTTTACGAATGTAGTGTCTTAGAGCTTTAAAAGTTTATGGATCTTTTAAATCTTCCTGAGGACCCTGTAGCTTAGGTGTCCAAGCCCCCCCCCCCCCCCCCCCGCCAGGTTACCTGCTCCTCAAGTCGCATGGTTATTAGTAGGAAGTGAATGACTTGGTGCTGGAACCCAAGCTTCTGACCACAAGTTCATTGATCTCTCCAGGATATCCAAGTGCTCTCCCCCGTGTCGAATTTCGAGAGCTGCCTCAGTTTAGGAATCTCTGTGGGATGTGCTCTTTCCTCGCCATTCCCCTGCTGCTGCCCCCTGGGGACCCTCCTCTGCTATCTCAGCTGACAGTAGCTTCCCAGTTGGCCTTGCTTCTAGCCTCTCTCCCGCCTTGAGACTCTAGTGTCGCCTTGAGACTCCAGTGTCGTGGAAGCGGCAGTCTGCGCTGAAAACGCCTGCGAGTCTTTGCTGCCGGCGGGGCGAGGTCTCCCTGAAGAGCAAGTCCCGCAAAGATCTTCTCCGCTCAGTTCCACGCTTCCCCTTCAGCCTCAGTTTCCCGTACTTTCTCCTCTGCTCCCCACACTGCGGCCCGCCCTCCTGCACAGTTGATAATCGTTTACGCTTCCATACTGTGCTCACTCTGTTCTCTGAGAACTTCGTTCCTCTCTGTTTCAAGAGCTCCTTTTCTAAGCAAATATAGTCACTTATTTCCATTTCTTTGTGTCCTCGGTTATGTGTGTCTGACAGATAGTTAGTACCGACTACATGCTGGGCTGCGGTGGGCTGCAGCGGAGAAGAGAACACGTGATTATCGCCTGAACCGGAAATTCACAGACTAGCGGCGTGAGCTGCTTCAAGGCAGGACCTTGTTCTCTTTACTTCGGTGCCACCGCTGCCGGCACATACCTGCCAGATAGCAGACCTTAGCGCTTATTATTAAAGAAGAGTACTTGTAAGAGAGTCTTTGCAAAAAATAACTTGAGAATCAGAGTGCTATGGTTAGGACTTTTCGTCGAATGATTGCCTTAAAAAAAAAAAACAAAACTTAGAATTTACCAAGAATTGTGATACTTGTATCCCTTTTTAGTTATTGTACCCAGCTAGAGCATTGGTTGTCCATCAGATAATATCCTGTCTTGTCTTAGTTCTAATGTTTCCATACCTTTAGAATATCTTGAACAGTTTTTAAAAGGTAAGCAGTTTCAAAACAATTTACTGTTGACTTTTCTTTGTCTTCTGTGTTGTCTTGTTTAGTTACAGGTAGCCTTACGTGTGAAATGTACATGAGTAAACAGTCCTTTTAAAGTGTGAATTAATCTTTATCTTATACTTTTATAGGTGTGTATATTTCCAAATACTCAGACTGTCTTCATGCAAGACCATGGTATCATGGGAAGTCTGGTTATGTTGTAATTTTTAACCTAATTAAGGTAAAGCCCAAATGCACTTCTATGTAATTTTTCTTTTAAAACTAAAGGTTATCAGTCTGTGGTAATGTTCTTTGCAGATCATTTGCATCATAGTCACCGGAGACAGCTATAAATTCAGAAAAGATAACGCTATTCTTGCTTTCCTTTAAAGATAAAGCTTTTTTGTTCATTTGATAGATGATCTATGAATATGTCTTTAAAAAACAAAACAGGGGCGCCTGGGTGGCTCAGTGGGTTAAAGCCTCTGCCTTCGGCTCGGGTCATGATCCCAGGGTCCTGGGATCGAACCCCGCATCGGGCTCTCTGCTCCGCGGAGCGCCTGCTTCTTCCTCTCTCTCTGCCTGCCTCCCTGGCTGCTTGTGATCTCTCTCTGTCAAATGAATAAATAAAATCTTTAAAAAATAAATAAATAAATAAATAAAAAATAAAAAACAAAACAACTTTCAAAGTAATACATAGGTAATCAGTAAAAAGCATTCCTCTCATCCTGGCCTACACTGGTCACTTTTTAAATGTTAAATAACATAAGTTGCAACCTGTAAAAACAATGTGATTACAGTTATAAGAGGAACTGAGAAAGCAACTTTTCCTTTTCTGGTTTAAATTGTTGATGTTAGAGAACCTTATTTCCTTTATCCCTACAGCATCCAGACCTGTTCACAGTTTTATGCAGCGTCTATAACTGCTGATCTCAGAAATTCTTAAATACCCTCAAATAGTTTAGTATGAGTGAATCGCACAATTTAATAGTTTTTACTCAAGTAGTTCCTAGGAAAACTCTGACCCTAGAGAGTGGTGGGCTTTGTGAGAACATACTCTGTGGTCTCGTTTTGTTTTTTGCTTCATTTTTAGCTTTCTTACTGTCCTGAGTTCTCTGATTATAAACCAATACTACTGATGTGTTTTTTTGAATGTGAACTGTTCACATTCTAAAGTTTGTCCCCGAGAACTGGAGGGACGGTAGCATCACACTGGCGGGGGATCCCAGCTCCTGCTCCCTCTGTTCTCCCGCAGGGGAGCTCGTGGAGTAGATGGGCCGCTGGCTCCCATAATCCTCGTTCAGTGTCATGCCTCTGTCAGATTGTGCTTCGTGCTGGGATTCTTGGCCTTGTAACCCCCTGTCTGGTGGCTACTGCTGGTCAGTTTTTACCTATATGCTCTCAGTTCTCCTTACTGTACTGCTCAAAAGCCAGCCATGCCCGACATACTGGCCATCATAAAGTGTTGGAGAGGGTGAAGATACAGGTTGTGATTGCTCACTGAGAACTACCATTTATATTCTTTGGCTTCTTATTATTGCCCCTGGTGGTCCTATGAATGAAGAGGCACGACCTTAACACCCCTCCACCCCCAAATTAGATTCTTCCTATAAAGATAAAAATAAAAGTTCCCTATAATTTTACCTCATTTTGGTATATATTTTGTGTATTTTGCCACGTCATTATAGTACTCACAACAGCTTTTAAAATCATTGTATGTTATTTCATTGTATGGAAACTTGACTACCTTCCCCTCCTTCGCTCCAAAAGACACATAACTCCTGATGAAGAGAAATCTGTAATCGGAAGTACTATCGACTGTTCAGTTACTGGGTCTGGCTAAGCACTTTACTGTATATTTGCTCCTTGCTGATTTACTGGGTCCTGGCATGATAGAAATACCTTTATCTAAAAACTACAATTGGTATCTTAATACTTCAGTTTGGGAACTCATCTTGTGAAATTTTAGATTTCACTTGTCACCTTTTATGTTACAGTCATTGACTAAGCTAATCTGTTCAGTTGGTGGGCTCTGTAATTTTTCTTTTACCGAAATGGTTCTCTTAAATTTGGGATGATTCATGTACTCCTTTCATGATGTGATAAAAGCTGTGATCATTTACCTCAGAAAGATGCCCATACATAGCAAATTTTTAAATGCAATATTAAGAGGCTAACGGGTAATTAAAACTATTGTTGGCCTTAAGACAATTCTCTAAGAACCATAGTTGTTAACACAGTTTGTTTGAAACACATCCACATCCTTACTTATTAGGCTACGTTTAAATGAATCCTAGAGTAAGATTATTGCCTTTGGAAGCCATCTGATTAGTCTTAATATTTTTATTCTAGGGAAGAGTCAAGTTTGTGTCTGAGAATTATACCACTAACTATACTAGCCCATCTTCTGGCTATGATTGCCACGTGGCTGCAAATACTAACAAGGTTTCTCACAAGACGAGTCATTTTCGCGCATTTGAACTGAGTCAGGTATCGTCACCTGGGAATAAATCATTCCCGAATTACATTTCTGAATCTAATGTATTAAATGTCAGCACTGGGTGGAGTTGAGAGAGAAACTTGGTGCCGACGGCGTTCCACAGTGCTACTCTGATAATCCGTATTTCTTTTCTTCCAGTATTACCTCTATGAAGTTTCAGGCAGCTCGGTTACTGAGCGACCCAGGCAGGTCTGTCCCTACATTATCGTAGCTTTCCACTACAGGGAGCCTAAAACAATGGCAGCATCAGCCCATAAAAGCATGTAAGTAATTATGCACATACTTTGTTTTACTGGATCTGTTCTGTTTGCTCTTATAAACATGCCTTTCCTTTTTCCCTAGATTTGAACTCGGTGAAAATGGTAAGACATTGTTTAATTGGTTCTTTTATGTTTCTTAAGTAAATGTTTTGCTCATAAATAATCGGTTTCTTTCTTCCTCATTTCTTAAAGCTCTGTCCTCTTCGTGGCAAGGCAAATTAATTGTTCAAGGCTATTTGCTGTGTGATATAACTCTTTGGTCCTCTGACGGTACAGCTGTTCCAACACAAATGTAAGAGTCCGTGTCCTTTACTGTTAGATTTTTTTTTTTTTAATTCTCATTTTGAAGTCTTGTTTGTTGGTACTGGTGTGAAACAAAGCAATTGACTTGGTTTTTAATTAGAGTACTTTGGGGTTGATGTATAGAGCACAGGAAACTTAAATTCAGGTCCAAATTCTGACCTTGGCTTTGAAATAGTTCTGTAATCTTTGATAAACCACTTTGGAAGTTTTAGTGTCTTAATCCACTCATGAGAATATGACCTCACAGACAGAAATGAATTGATGCTAGATGTTTGACTTTCCCGAGACACAGATTGGATTTGCCTAGATAGCAGATGCAGCAGATAGGCCCTATTATTGGCTCTTTATTAAGAGTTGCAGGAGCTGATTTTCCTAGACCACTCTTAAGTAGGGTAGCTATTACATATATTTGCATTTCTTTAAAAAGATTTTATTTATTTATTTGACAGAGATCACAAGTAGGCAGAGAGGCAGGCAGAGAGAGAGAGGAGGAAGCAGGCTCTCCGCAGAGCAGAGAGCCCGATGCTGGGCTTGATCCCAGGACTCTGGGATCATGACCTGAGCCGAAAGCAGAGGCTTTAACCCACTGAGCCACTCAGGCACTCCTATATATTTGCATTTTAATGAATTATGTGCTTCTGGGGCACTGTGAAGAGCATCTTATGAAATGTTTTTATTTAGTCTGTTCTTAGTTTGTACCCCAAACTATTGAAAGATAGACCTGTTTTGTTGAAATACAAGCTGAAAACAAGTGTGCTGTCAGAATTCATTTTCTTTCTGTTGACTGACCTGTTTTAAGAGGGAGGATTGAAGATTATTACAATCCAGAGAGTAAAGTAAGAATTCTGTGAATAGGGGTACTGGGGGGGCTCAGTTGGCTGACCGATTCTTGATTTTGGCTCAGGTCATGATGTCAGAGCTGTGAGATTGAGCCCTGCATTGGACTCCATGCTGGGCATGGAGCCTGCTTAAGATTCTCTCCCTCTCCCTCTGACTGTGACCCCCACGCTCCATCCCCTGCACCTGCACATGCTCTCCCTCAAAACAAAACAAAACAAACAAAAAAACGAATTCTGTAAATAAATAAGTGGGCGAGCTGGGAAAGTTCATTGTCACTGCGGAGTACAGCTAATGAGTGTAGGGAGAAGTGGCTAGAACCATTAACTAAATGGTTAACATCGTCAGCAGTGGAATAAATGTCCTGTGTTTCCTAACAGTATGCATCGAGAATGACACAGTGTCACTTGGGTGGTATTCCTGCCAATCTAACCAGCAGGAAACATCAGACATACCCAGATTGAGGGACGTTCGCAGAATACACGGTTTATTCCTCAAAAATACCAAGGTCATTAAAGATAAAGATTGAGAGACTGTCCAGATTGAAGGTGATTAAAAAGACCTAACTAAATACAGTGTGTAATCCTGGACTGGATGGTAAAACAGAAGAAAATTCATTTTCTTTTGCTATAAAGCCCCTTAGTGAGATAGTTGGCAAAATTTGAATTAGGTCTATAAGTTAATTAATGGAACCATATCATTATTAATTTCTTAATTTCATTAATTGTTCTGTGGTTACATAGGCAAATGTCCTTTTTTAAAGACACAGAGACGTAGTTAGGGGCAAGGGAGGGCATTTATAAGTCTACAAGTATTTGAAAGTGAGTTTTCAAAGAAAAGTCAGGGGAAGTGGTGCAAATGTCTGAATGTAGTTCATTCAGTGGTATGGCACGGTAAGCAGTTCACTATTGTCAAAAGTTGTCAACTCTTACATAGCGTAATTTTTTGAAAATTCTCATTCTAGTATGCATAATTTTTGATTCATCTAGATATTTTGTTAATCTCAAAAATACACACATTCAAAAAATGCAAACATATTTGAAGACTGTGGTCTGTGGGGTCATATATTTGAAAATATACTTATAAATATTCACATTTGATTCAGATTTTATCAATTTAAGGACTTTCTTGTTATGATATTTTTGTTTGCATTTATATTAGAAAATAAAAAATTGTGAAGCTGTAGTTTAAATGTTCATTAAATGGCGTGGTATTGTTTTGTTTTAGACCACACGAACTAGATTTTAAGTATGTAATGAAAGTGTCATCTTTGAAGAAAAAACTACCAGAAGCTGCCTTTAGAAAACAGAATTACCTGGAACAAAAAGGTCTGTTCAGATGTAATGATACACTGCACACCCTGGGCTTTGTTCAGTTTTTTTCATAGGTCACGTGCACATGCATATACACACTGTTGTGGTTTTGCCCTAAGTGATTTGCAGAAGGGCCTTTCGTTAGAGTTGTAGGGTTGCCGTGATTTAGTTCCTTGGAGGCTAACTAGAAACCAAAAGGTAGTTTCATCTAATGTGGCAGAGACTAGCTTTACTATAGGACCCTGAGGGAGTTCAGCAGAGAAATGCTTAAAACAGTTGGAAACTCATAACAAAGCCTTTGAAGGAGAACAGAGGTTTTGTGGTGATGGTGTTTATTTATTTATATACTTCTAACTGAAGAAAAAAAGCAGAAAACATGCAAAGGAAATTCCTGGTCATTTAGATTAATTCATGGAACATTGATGTTTATATTATTTATATAGTATATATGTGTCTTGTTAATTCCTACAGTAGAGTCCCTGATATTGAAAGCACTGTTTCACGTACTTGACACAGTAACTTCGTATTGAGGAGTTTTGTAACAAAGACCATTGAATGTTAAATGTTTTTTAAGGAGTATTTCTAGTTCTTTCATCCTTTTAACATATAAAATGAAAAACTTGGTTATTAAAAAAGCATAATAGCATTTTAAAGTAAGAAATGTTCCGTTTTTCTGATTTGCTCCGTAGTCTGTTGCCGAGATTTGTGCTTCAGGATGTATGAGGTGGAGCTGGCGAACAAATGCGGGGGAAAAGTAGATAAACTAACAGAGTACATCAAAAATAAGCAATTGGTAAGAATCACTGATTTAAAATATAATTATTATCTTTTCCTTGAATAAAGAAATTGCTATCTCATTATTCGTTGACTATGCCTGGAGTGACTTAGGATTTTCATCATTCAGTATGTGACATATTCTTAACAGTTATTGTCTAATATTTTCATCCCCCTTTGGGTCTCAGTTTACTTTCGTGTCTCACTGGTCAGTTTGTACTCCTGATTTTAAGAATAAGAGGACAGTTTTCCCCAAATCCTTTGTTGTTGTTGTTGTTGTTGTTATTGTTTTATGACAGAAGAATTGAGTAGATCCCTAGCGTTTCTGAATTAATCAAAGGACCACTTGTGAGATGCTTCTTTAAAAGTGACCTGTGTTGATCTCTAGGTATGTAAGGAAAAAAGTGAAATCAAATGCTGGTGCTCCCACCGTTTCCATATTGTAGAAAGTAACATGCTAGTGAGACGTATGTAACAATCCAGAGACTTCTATCCCTTTTGTCAACCAGGGCTCCTCAGTGTGGGGAATGAGTAGATGCTGACCTTTTATGGGTGAGACCTCAGCATCCCAGGGAAGATGGTGTGAGTGTGGGATGGCGATCTAAACATGTGAGCCCGTTAGTGGCAGGCTGGACTGTCCCCGGAGTAGACAGCAAGAAATCAGAAATGACAATAAGACCCATGGACAAGCTGTGAAGATAAAGGGTCTTGGGCCACTTGGAATTACTTGTGAGGGTGACTCAAGCTGGCTTAAGCAGTAACAGGACTGAACAGGCTTCTTTTCAGTTCTAGGTGGTAAGGCCAGTTCAAGCACGGTTTGCTCAGGCCTCTGGGTTTCACCTCCCGCTGCTCTTACGCTAGTTTGTCCCGTGGCTGCTGCCGGGGGCGACGTGCTTCCTCTGTGCGTCTGGAGACACACGGGAGCCCCTCCTCACCTTCACTTAATTTTCATTAGGCTGGTGTGTGTCATCTGCATGTCCCTCGTCCAGTAGTTGACAGGGAGTGGGGTCCCCTGACCTGTGCAGGGCACCGGAGCCCACCTGCCAACATGGGGTCCGGGGTCTGGGGTCGGTCCTGCGGAGTCTGTGGTGCTGCCCCTCAGCGCAGAGGAACCGGCTGGGCGCGGCCGATGCTGAGCGGGTGGCCGTCAAGTGTCTGCCGGGGGACAGAGGCCGTGTTGTTCTGCAGTAACACAGTCCGTTTTCTGCTTGGAAATTAAATGGAAGAGAGTCCCGGGATGTTTTCAGAACATTCATGAAGTGACTTTCTAAGTGCAGATGATATCCAGAGTAGCAGCGACCTGATTGCACACATCACAGATCAGTCACATCAGATCCTTCCTCCTCAGTGTCTATGCTTTTTCTTCTTCTTTTTTTTTTTTTAATATTTTTTAAGTTTTTATTTTAATTTCAGTTGGTTAACATACAATGTAGTATTAGTTTCAGGTGTACAATATAGTGACTCAGCCCTTCCGTACAACACCCGGTGCTCGTCACAACAGGTGTGCTCCTTCATCCCTGTCCCCGATTTCCCCTCCCCCCCACCACACCCAGCAGGGTGTTCTCTAGCGTTAAGAGTCCGTTTCTTGTCTTTTTTGTTTCTGTCTCTTTCCCCTTTGCTTACTTGTTTTGTTTCTTAAATTCCACACGTTGGGTGAAATCATAAGGTGTTTGTCTTTCTCTGACTTGCTTCACTTAGCAAGTCTCTAGCTCCCATGCTTTTTTTTCTTGCCTCATCACTGTATGAGTAATTTTTACATATCTGGCCCCCCACCTAGACATTGAGTTTCTTAAGGGAGTTATCATATCTTAAGTATCTGTGTATAGAGGGTAAACAATAGATGCCCCTTAAATAAAGTGTATGTGGGCTTGTACCTGGAACACTGACCTTCAAGAACGGTGCAGACCAAGGTCTCTTTTTAACAGGGTGCTAAGGACATGTATGGCTGTATTTTTCTGTGTGTAAATGGAAGAGTCCAGTAGATACATAAAAGATTGTATCATTTCTCCCCACAAAGGTTAAAATAGGAACTTTAGCCCTTACAGTACATATTCTGAGAGACGAATAAGATACATACTTCTGTTTTATTTGTACATTTCATGTGTATCCCAAAACTAAAATGCAGAACAATGTAGAGCTAACTCCCTTATTACTTTTTACAGCAGTAGAAAATGAAGCCAGAATTATACCTGCAATTTACTAGATACCAAAGCTCTGTGTATATATAACTACTGGTGTATTTACTCAGTAATTCTTTCTTTAGTCCCTTCTGTGCATCAGAAGCACAGATACAAATACAGTCCCTGCCATCAAAGAATGTGTAAGACTGGAAGAAACAAAACAGAAACTGTCAGGTGCCCAGGGGCTATCACAGAAGCCTGTGAAGTGATTATTCCTGTGGATGTAATCATCGGAATTCTTTTTTTCACACTTTGTTATTGAGTAATGTGTTGATTCCCCATATTTGTAGGCTTTATGACCTATCAATCTTTGAAAAAGAATGTTTTCTCACTGTATTCTAAAAAAAAAAAAAAATGGTGTGTTTTGTTTAGGTTTCTTTTTTAACTGAAAAATTACTATACGAATATTGGATTTCCTCTTTGTTATGGACATACTTTTGAGATGGTGATGAATGGAAAGCTGTTATCTTTATGATTTACAATGGCAGATTTTAGGTAACTTCCCCACTATCTGGGGGAAAATTCCCAGAGTTACTGGAAACATGAAAATTTCAGGATTTTTTTTTTCCTTGAACCCCTGGAGACTGTCGTAGAGGGAAACAAGAAGAATTTATTTTTATCTGCATCTCGTGTTGCCACAGGACCGGATTATTTTATTTTCTATTATTTTCTTCTCTTACGATGCAGTAGAAAGAATTATTTTATTGGATGGCGTCTTCCAGTCTTGAGTTCCAGGATTCTGTGATATTTTTTGTGTAGACATGAGCTTAAATCGCTAATCCCAGGTCTGAGTCACCTTGAACTTGTAGTGGCTGAAGGTAACAGATGGACTATTTGGACAGCAGGATGAAATGTCAAGCATCTTAATGAAAAAACTGAAGTGTCGTTTCTAATTGATTTGTTACATAGTTGAACACTGTGCTAAAACCAGCCTTGATGTTCCAGTTCTTATATGTAGGTCTCACAGGGCCAAGATTATTTGAGCAGTAAGAAATTTGCAGTTTGTTACTGGAGACAAAATTTCTCCTGATTCTCACAAACACTAACATTTCAAGAATTGTTTTGCAGAGTGTGGTAGAGGGAGAAGGAGAGAGGGACTGAACCTTTTTCAATTTTTTTTTTCCCCCAATGTTTAAGGCAATCATCAAATGCTTAAAAGATCGGGGGCTTTTCATCTTATTTACCTCATCAGCCTTAATACCAGAAACAAGTAAGGACAACTTTTTTGAAAAACTTTTTCAGTATGTTCATTTTTGTTCTATAAGATCAACAGTCTAACTTTCTTATGATGTTCATTCTGTGTAGATTTTAGAGATGAGCAGATGGGTCTGCGTGGGTTACATTTATTCCATCCATCCCTTCCAGCAGGTAAGGACACACACGGTCTGGGGGATATTTTTCAGTCTTCATCGTGACTTCTTAGCACCACTTGACCCTGCTAACTGTTTTCTGCTCTGAAGCCACTCTCCTTTTACCTCCCTGGGTGATCCCTCTTTATCTCCTCTGCACACCCAGCCTTTCCTCTGAGCTTCACATGCCCAAACTCAGGTGCCTGTTGACACGTTCACTTAGATGTCTCAGTTGATCTTCAAATTCAGCACGCCCTGAGTGGAACTCCCTGCAAGTTAACAGCAGAAGCTGGGGGATTCGGTCATCACCATCGACCTAGCAGATGGGACCTGTACAAACACAGCTCCCTCTGTCCAGATGCCTCCTCTCCTTCCCCCTCGTCAGCTGAAGTTGAGCCTTGTGGGACCACAGATTGGCTCATGGGGGCAAAAAAATGTTACTCTTACAGTGTATAAATAGGTGTAACTGCGGTATTGAAATTTCAGAAGGCACTCAGGAAACCAAGTCTGAAAGGGCTCTTTGGCAGGGGGAGGTAAGGACTAAAATCAGAGAAGCACCCCTTGAGCTTGTTACTCTCTCTGGTCCCCTTAATATCGCACTCTTGCTTCCTGCTACCACTCTTCCCTCAGTGCGACCTCCGGGCTTATCAGTAGTATCATTTCAGTATATCTTCGTATGATTATTTAATGCTTGCCTTTCTTGTAGTTTACTGTATCCCTATCACCTACGGGTGCCAGGCAGCTGAAAAATAGCAAATGTCGGAGCCCTTTTGACTCGGTCGGAAGTGCATAGGACTCTTGATCTCAGGGTTGTGAGTTCAAGCCCCGTGTTGGGTGTAGAGAATACTAAAAAAAAAGTAAATAAGCTTAAAAAAAATAACAGATGTTTGCTGAACAAATAAGTGAAAGTAAATGAGTCACTTCTTTTTGTCCTATGAGGATATTTCCTTCATATTTTATAATCACACTGTATATCTTTTTTTTTTTTTAAGATTTTATTTATTTATTTGACAGATCACAAGTAGGCAGAGAGGCAAGGGGTTGGCGATGGGGGAGGAAGCAGGCTCCCCACTGAGCAGAGAGCCCGATGCGGGGCTCGATCCCAGGACCCTGAGATCATGACCTGAGCTGAAGGCAGAGGCTCAACCCACTGAGCCACCCAGGTGCCCCCACATTGTATATCTTTAAACACAAAGTTCTATATAGTATTTATAAAACTACAACCAATACAAAAATGTTTTTAAAGTTGATTTGTTAGAAATTGTGTTCAGTTACTCAAAGCATAGAACGGTACTGCCCTACGCATCAGTTTGGACGAAGACGGACATCACCAGGTGTAAGAGCATAACGGCAGCAGCTCTGCGCCCTTCTCAAGCTCTGCCGTGTCCGCCGTCGTTCCAGGGCTGCCTCAGTGCCTCTGACAGCAGATCTGCGCGTAAGGGCTGCGCAGAGCAGACGGACTGAGACCTGGCTTTGCCTGCGGTCAGACAGCAGACTCCTGAGCTGCCTTCCAGCCCCAGTCCCTCACTGTCCCCCTCGCCTGCGAGAGCTCGGACCTCATCCTTATTTTATTATTTTTTTAATATTTTTATTTTTTAATTTTTTTGAAGATTTTATTTATTTATTCGACAGAGATCACAAGCAGGCAGAGAGGCAGGCAGAGAGAGAGAGGAGGAAGCAGGCTCCCTGCAGAGCAGAGAGCCCGATGCAGGGCTCGATCCCAGGACCCTGGGATCATGACCCGAGCCGAAGGTGCCACCCAGGCACCCCCATCCTTGTTTTTAAACATACTTCCAGCCAAATGAGGAACACTGGTCCCCACGCCACCAACAGTGGCGCAGCACAGGGCTCCTAACAGTGCACAGTGGATGGTTGCACTCTGCTCACATCCTCCTCTGTGGTCCTTGAGATACGTGGGAGCATTCAAAGGTTCAGAACCATGGGGGATTGTTTTCCTTTAAGATTTTTATTGATTTATTTGACAGAGACACAGCGAGAGAGGGAACACAAGCAGGGGGGAGTTGCAGAGGGAGAGGGAGAAGCAGGCTCCCCGCTGACCAGGGAGTGATGCAGGGCTCATTTCCAGGACCTCAGGATCATGACCTGAGCTGAAGGCAGGTGCTCAATGACTGAGCCGCCCAGGCAGCCCCTGGGGTGGTTTTAAATGCATACTTTGCCTAGCAGACTTTAAAAGTTCCTTTTCGTAGATTTGTTAAGTTTATTACAAATTTCTGTTTCCTCCTTGAAATACCTTCTTGAGATAACGAAGTTGTCTAGAAAAATACTACTTGATTTTGAACTGTTAGTTCTATATAAGAACTTTTTTATATGTTTCCTTCACTTGTTACTTTTTAAATGATGACCTACTCAAAGAAAGGGATTTTTATTTTAATGTCTAGCTACATTTTCCTGTTTATTCTTATTTGCTCTTCTTTTCCTTTACATAATACAGACTCAAGGTCAAGTGTATTCAGCTAGAACTAACTTGGTGTTTCTTAATTTTGCAGTTACTTTTTCTTTAAAAAGAGTGGCATGACTCAGTTCAGTAAACATGAGGCCATTGTCGTCTGTGGGTTTTTTTTCCTCAAGTTTTTATTTATTTGACAGAGACAAAGAGCACAGTAGGCAGAGTGGCAGGCAGAGGGAGAGGGAGAAGCAGGCTCCTTTGCTCAGCAGGGAGCCAACGCTGGACTCAATCCCAGGACCCTGAGATCATGACCTGAGCTGAAGGCAGATGCTTAACTAACTGAGCCACCCAGGCGCCCCATCTCTGTTTTTTTTGTTTGTTTGTTTGTTTTCTTTTTAATCTAAGAGTTACTGATGTCTTACCTTTCCTAGGACTTTATAAGCCACTTCCCAGTGACCTGACCTTTTCTCTTTTTTCTCCCTCTTACTATTTTCCTTTAGGTTATTGATTTGCTGAAAAAGTCACATTTCAGAGTGAGCCAAGGAAAGAGAGTGGAACACAAGAGTAGTCAGTTTAGTTAACTTACTTTTTAAAAAATGCTTATTTCATCTTAATGCCAATAGTAACCATGAAATTTTGGGGTTACTTAAAGATTTTACTTTCTGTAGGTCAGTAAGTTTGCATTGTAACTTTTTAGAAAGAATTTGAAGTTAGTTCAATAAGGTACAGATAAAATTAGACTGATTTTAAAAGCAGGAAATGAGCATTGAAAATACTTTAAAGCAAATCTGCGATGGCCCCTGAGCTCATGCTGGGCTCCTGGTCAGATGAGATGGAGCTGCCTTCCTCACTCTAACCCAGTGGTCGCACCAGAATCACTCATTTTTGGTTCACGAGCATGCGTGCGTGTGTGAGAGTGATTTCATGTAAATAGATCCATATATTCATTAAATGTACCCATAGGTCTTCTATTAATTGCCAGTTAAGTTCCCATCTGAAACACTACCATATTTAACCATCCCATAGTCTTGTAACCTAAAGCATCTTCTTCCTGCATGCTTTTGTAAAATTGGGAAAAAAAAAAAAAAAAAGATAAAACTTGAGGTTTGAATGTCTGTGTATATGTTTTAGGGCTGAAAGAATTGAAAGGTGAAGATGACATCTCATCGAAGGTGACACCTATTATACCTGCCCTTAATTGTGCCCTGTTAGAAGCAAAGAAGTCATTTACTGAAGAAGGAGTCTGTCCAAACACATTAGTAAAGCATAGTTTCCAAGAACTGTACAAGGCAGACAAAGGCCCTCCGTTGACCGCTGCTTCCCAAGATGGAATTCAAGAGACTGCATTCTTTGGCCAACTGTCCAATGGCTTTGACTTGGTTCCTCCAGCAGAAAAGTGCCCTTTACAGTCTTTAACTCAGTTGAAGTCTTATTTTTCAGATCCCAGTGGGTACGTTTTGGAAGTGTCTGCTGCGTTAGATTTCTTGGCAGAGCGTCCTCCGTCCCCTTGCATCTCAGATGGAGTTTGTGATGCCGGGTTTTCTTTAGTTATGACTCCAGATCCTGAATTTCTTGACTCCGAGGTGGAAGTAAGAAAAGAAACTGAAACCAAAAAGAATCCTGAAGAAATGTTTAAAGCCAGGCGGGGAGCTCTGGTTCCGTTAAGTGCAGCATCAAACCTGAGAGTTCAGCCTAAGAGAAAGGCAAGCACGCCGCCTGCTGTGCAGAGCAAAAGGGTGAACTTGTGCCGTCCCTTCCCCAAAAGAAATCCCGCCGGAGCGAGCAAGGGTTCGAGCTCTCCAACAACTCTCAAGTTAGTTAAAGGACCGTTGCTTCCCAAAAGAAAAAGAGGTAAGTACGGTTTCTGTGGGCTATGAAATGAGCATTAGTCGTAGCTGTGGTGCTCTCAGCACGGGTCCTGTCTGATGACGTGCCCCCCAGCTGGGCAGTATTGGGTAGAAGTTTGGTGGAAACACCAACATTTCTCTCTGGGGGATTTGTGTATTTGAGAAGCACCGATCCAGATGGCAGATGAAGATCAAGAAATAGGAAGAACTGTTAGATACCTTGAAAGCGCCCTCACCGAAGGCTCCTGTTTCATTTGTGAAGTGGTTCCAGCCTTCACTCACTTGCTGCCGCTGCATTCTAGGCTGTGGCGGCTCAGTGTCCGAGCTGTCCTGGGAAGAGGGATAAGGGTGGAAGGAGATGGTCTTCAAAGACCAGGCTCCCTGAGTGCGGCGGGAAGTGATAACCAGTAGTTTGCGCTTGTGTAAAGAGGGAAATTGAATGCTGGACTCTCCACACCTAAAGCAGCCTGGGGCAAGATTTCCTGTCCTTTGTGTGTTGTGTATCAGACTTAAAAATAGTCACCTGGATCCTGCCATAGACCTATTGAAATAGGCCTAGAGACCTGTATGTTGACACAGTTCTACAAATGGCTTGTTCCCCCCGTCAGTTGAGCGAGAACCAGAGTCTAGAGCCACTTAGTGTCTAGTCAGATGCGCCGAGGCAAACACAGCGCAGCAAACCACGTGATTCTGGCTTAGAGTCATCTTAGCTCTGTGTAGTGTAGTTTGCTTAAAAGCAGGGAACCACACGCTTCGTGGCCCCTTACAGAAGGGGTCAACCCGCTGTGGCGCAGGGCCCTCCAAGTGTTTACCTGTTGTCTCTGGCCACTGCACACCTGCTGGCAGACGTGAGCAGCTGTGACTGAGACCAAAGCTGAAAGTGCGTGCTGGCAGCCCTCCACAGAGAAGGCCTGCTAACCGGACGCATAATGTTTGGATTTAGAAATGTTGGTGTCTGAAGAGGAAAACATCAGAGCTATGTAGATCCTCAGGATTCTAGATAATCCAGGCTGTGCCCTGCGGTTTAACAGACAGTTATTTCTGGCTTACTGTAGCTTGAGAGATGAGGCGTGTATGTGCACTCGTACACGCGTGTGAGGACGACAGCAGGCACGGCGGCATAAAGCGGTGACTCGGACTGTACAGCTGCTTCCGAGTGCGCTCCCGGCCGGCCGTGCTGGGTTTCCGCGGCGCACGAACCAGTTTCCTCTGAGCTGCCAGATAGTCTGTCACCAGTGTACATGTTATCACTGTGTCTCTAGTGTTTTTAATTTCATCCCTGTAAGAAGTGTTTTATGTCATATAGTCTAGTGCAGATACGTACATGATTCACTGAAACAAAAATTTCAAAGAACATTCACCCCAATCTAGCATTTTCTCTTAGTGCAATTTAGCATTTTCTCTTCTGTTTCATTTAAGAAAGGATTCTGGTTGCAACCCATTAAACTTATTTTACAGTCCACCAATGAATTGTGCCTGCAAGTTTGAGAAACATGGCATTGACTGATGCAAATGGTCCCTGTAGGGTCACCTCGTTCCGTGTTTCTCTTCCCCTCCCAGACCTGGGTTGTGTGGGGTCTTCCCGCCTGTGCAGCTGCTAGGAGCCTCTCCTAGCTCTTGGTCCTCTCATCTTATTTTCTTTCTCTTCTCAGTTTAGTCTGAACTGTTTCCCTACTTGATTTATATTTTGCCTTTTTTGTGCTTAACTTTTTAGAAAATAGCTGGAGTAGAATGAGAAGTCTTGAAAATGAAACACATGTTGCTTTTTTACTTGTAATAGTTGAGTAGGGAGGACAGGAATTAGACCCGGGGAAGTGTACCACATTAAAGGTGTGTGAGGTTTTTTTTGTTTGTTTGTTTGTTTTTAACACTCCTTTCTCAGTTTCCCAAAGGAATGAAATGAAATTGGTCTCTTTTCTACATTTCACTAACAGTCATCACACCTTACTGAACTAGTATCATGTTCCCTTTTCTCAATTAGAAATACAGTTGATCCTTGAACAACATGGGCTTCAGGGGCACCAACCGACCCCCCATGCAGTGAAAAGATCTCTATAGCTTCCGTGCTCCCAAACTTAATTCCTGATGATCTCCTGTTGACCAGGAGCTCACTGATAATACAAGTCACTGGTTGACATGTACTCTGTGTGTCTTATATGTTATACATTGTATTCTTACAATTATGTAAATTGGGGAAAAAAAGTGCTATAAGAAAATAATAAGACGGTTGCCCCTTGGGTGCCTCAGCCAGTTAAGCGTCCAACTCTTCATTTCAACTCAGGTCATGATCTCAGGGTCGGGAGATCAAGCCCCGCTCAGCAGGGAGTCTGCTTGAGATTCTCTCTCTCCTTCCCCTGCACCACGCCCCCTCGCTCTCACACTCTCTCTGTCTCTCAAATAAATAAAATCTTAAAAAAAAATCATAAGGGGGCGCCTGGAGGGTTAGTGGATTAAGCGTGTGACCCTTGATTTTGGCTCCGGTCCTGATCGTGGTCATGGGATGAGCCCCACGATGGGCTCTGCATTTAGTGCGGAGTCTGCATAAGACTCTCTCCCTCCCCCTCTACCTCCCATCTCATCCCTCCACGCACGCATGTGCGCGCTCTCAAATAATACATCTTTAAAAAGAAACTCAAAAGGAAGATAATGCGTTTACAGCAGTGTACTTAGATTTATTAAAAAGGAGTCCATTCAAACCTTGTTCACGGGCCAACTGTAGTGTTTTCTGTACAACATAATTTTAAAGTATTTACCAACACTCATGTGATATTGTTATTGATACCTTTGGGACTAAATTTTTTGGTGACAACAGCTGAAAGCAAGAAAGTTTTCAAGGGAACATTTATTACCTTTTTTTTTTAAACTCTTAAAAGGTTGAAACACTTTGTGTTGTTAAATTAGCAGGGTAGTTACGAGGTTTTTTCTCTGTACTTGCCTCCTAGCTGTTCCCTTCTGTTTGAGAAGCAAAGCGAAGCACATTGTAAGAGAGATGAGCCATCATGAGAGACTTGTAGGGAGTTAAGTCAGGTGAAGGCTTCTTCAGCAGACCTTTCTTTATCCGCTCTGTAAAGATGATTCTTCCAGTGGTGCTAAGACTTGGGTATTTAGGAATAGTCAAGTGAAGTCTGGAAGTTGGTTCTTTATGAATAGATAGTCTCTTCTCTGTAGTGCAGTTGCAGTTTCAGCTACATTACCTCGTGGGAGCTGTGTTGTTTTCCATAAATTGAATTCTCCGCTCCCCAGTGCAGTGAACTACCTTCTTCAGCCTTCACCTGCCCCATCAGTCAGGAAAGATTATGGAGAACTTTTTTTCTTTATTTAAGTCATGCCTTGTTTTTATAAAATTAGTACTTTGACATTCTTCTTCACCTGGCAGGCTATAGTCCGACGCTTAGAAAAATCCTATTCTTAGATTTATCTGAGATCTTTTAACTCATGCTTTGTTAAAAAAAAAAAAATCTTTTAATGAAATACCCCAAATTTATATTTTCTTCTCTATTGCTAAAGTTACCCCCTCCCCGTGAAAACAAAAGAAGTCAAAGGAGAAGCTATTGCTGATAAATATTGGAGCCCCCTACCCCTTAAAACACAGTATGTTTTCTACATAAGGTGCTGACGTGCTGGCTGCACACTTTGTACAGACAACCAAATTGGATAGGAAAAACCAAGACGCTCCCATTTCTAATGATGCTCCAGTGGCAACGAATGCTAAAAGGGCAAGGAAACAAGAGAAATCTCCAGTCGAAACTGTTCCGAGGCCTAAGCCACCCGTGAAGAAATCTCCACAAAAGCAGAGGGTAAATCTAGTAAAAGGCAATCAGAATCCCAGAATCAGGAGGCAGCCACAACCTGGTAAGAAACACTCTTCCTTTGACTTAAACACCGCAGTGCGGACTAATTGAGATCGCAAGATAGTGTATTGACATAATCTACGAACAGCTGAAATTTACCAACAGTTCCTGCTATTTCCTTGAGTTCGGACGCTAAACGGGCTAAGTAGGCGGGCTTCCTGTTGTAAATAAATCTGTTACGTGCAGGTTCAGGCCTTCACAAAATAGACCCTGCTTTTTAGCTTGCATAAAGCCTGAATGTGAGCGGTCTACGAGAGTGTCAGGGTAGAGAGGCTTTCTTGTAACTAATTGCACACAGGCAGTAGCTGACAATATTTTTCTGGGCCATAATCAGTTAAAAAAGTAGAAGGTGTTGAGTTTATGTGTCCAAAGGGAGTTAGAGATTATTGAAGACACTCAGTGATCCAGAACCCTGTGTTTGGTTTTAAAAGGCATTAGATTAATTTTAAAAGCAGTTTTACTTCCTAGTCTTGCTTCAGTGAATAATAAAGTTTAGTTGTATGAATAAATGCCCGACTGCTCCAGTTCCGTATTTTCAACTGCCAGACAGAAAGCCCCGCTGTCCCCGTAGACTTCACCTCCCACGCAGATGCACGTGGCGTCCCTGTCCTGTCTCCCTCGCATCTGTGTGGCCGTGCAGCGTGTTACTTCCAGCCTGCGGCATCTCTTACTCTTTGAGCATTGAGGCCTGCTGGGTGCATGTGTGTGGTTTCTCTTGTTTTAACAAAATGTAATGTCCTCATACCTTTGTATACCTATCAATTTTCTGTCTAATTCTGCTTTCTCCCTCACCTATTTTTAGATTTTTAAAAAAACTCACGGTTAGTGGGAATTTAGAAAACATTGTTTTGCTGGGGTATGGTATTATGAATAACTGTGGTTTTTTCTGTTTCTTTCATATTATTTTATGACAGAAGGATTTTTTGTGCGTTTTGTTTGGTATTCGATGAGTGACAGTTTTTTTTAAGAGCTTGTCCTGTGATTTGAAAACCCAGTGTTGCGGTTTTGAGACACAGACCTACCAAATGCAAACTCCACTCATCTCTTGGGCGGTTCATAAGGAGGCCTTTGCCCACACCTCCACACCTCCCCTCCTCCCTCCTGCTGTTTCTCACTCACTCGGTGTGTCCCTGCCCTGCCACGTACCCTGTGCTTCCCCACACGTGTTGCCCAATTTCTGCTCTGTGCATTTGCCCTCCACCACATTCTGCACAGCGAGGTCCTGCCTCCAGAGGCCTTTCCCGATTTTCTGATCTTCACTCAGCTGTTTCTTTAGTTCCTTCTGGGTTTTTGAGAACACTGTGGAACCAAGTCCATACTCCTCCCTAATCATTTGATGTGTCTTGGTCCTGTCTTTCCAATTGAATTTGTAATTTGATTACAAATGAAATTGTAAACATTATGAATGAATTTGTAAACATTATGAGCATAGATACACATATAAATGCCTGTGTGCTTAGCTGCGTCATTCGAATTATTTGTACCAAATTGGTACAAATATTTGTAGATATTTGTAGACTAATGGATTCATGGGAGGAATGCAGTTGGGTATTGGCAGAAAGGTGTGCCCAGAAAATGAAAAGTTTTTAAAATATGTGTTCCGAATCAGGCTGGTTTGTATTATAAACGTCTGTATTTATTGTGCAGCCACATTCTGAGTTAAAATGTTAAGATTGCCACCTTTTAAATATCTTAATTTTTCTTTTATTTCTTAGTCACCTGTACTAATCTGTTTCATTTCTGATACTTCAAGTACAGAATTTAGAGAGAGCTCATTTTTGTTACTGAAACGAATGGTTTTCTGCCCTTTTTAAAGTTTTCAGCGTAGCTTTTCTTTATTGAACTCTGAATTTTTTATATATTTTATTTGGTGTTGTCTTGTATTTTTAAAAAGAGATGATCAGTATTCTGCTTTTAACTGATTGAGAACTTCTAAGAAGTCAGGAATTCCGTGATTGACCTGAGACACACATTTGTTAAAATGAAGCCTTTTTCTTCAGTGTGGTGTTCTTTATATCAGGCTTTATTCATACATGATACCCCGTGGAAGAGCCATAATATTAACGACAATGGAATGTGATGAGTGTGAATAAACACATCAGATCACAAAACGGATTTTATGTTTCTAATAGATCCGTGGGCTGGTGAGGTGATTCTCTGCTTTGGGTCATTCTTTTCTATGTGATCCCGTTCAGTTTTGCTGTTTTACATAAGCGGACAGTGGTTGATTACTTTTATCCTTCCCACCACACGCACACACCTTCTCATTCTGCTTGATGACCTCACAGGCCAGGGTTTTCTCTTTAAATGGATTAGTCATTGGCCTTTGCAGGCAGGTTAATAATTCATTTCAGATGTGCTGCCGATGTTATAAAGAAGAACACAGTTGGCTTTCCTGTCCGTGCACGGGCTGCAGGGAATCGATGCCTAGTGTTGTTGTGAACTTTGTCCTTCATGATAGCAGCGTCTCAGGAGGCCGGACTGACTTCCTGAGAATGCAAGTAGGCGTAGAAGGCTGGCTTTCTGCTCAAAGGCAGGTGGGTGGATTGGATCACCTGCAGGAAGGAGAATTATTGATACACAAGGAGATTTGTTATTTCCAGACAGAGGGGAGGAAATATTTTCAGTACAGAAATTAAAGTTTTAGGTGATGAAATCAGTGATTCTGAATGAATGATCTTACAACTCTTCTGATTTTTTTGTGTCATTACATGCTCTAATGAAACATCAATATGGTGAAAAGTTGTTTCTAGTTTGAACTTAGGTGATTTCTCTAACAAAGCACTTGTTAAGGGACACGCTTTCTGAAAGTGTGTTAACATACGATATTATACAGTTCAAACTTAGAAATTCTTATGTTCTCATTACATTGTAAGCTCTCTAAGGACAGGCCTCTTGTTTTTTATTCTTTTTTTTCCCCTCTGTATATTTCTCTAGCTGAGCAGTGTACCTTGTATGTAGTTCAGCACCTGCCTTTCGGAAGGTGATTCTTTTTAAATCAATATGCACAGTCCTTAAGATTTGTTCCCGTGGTAAATACATTACATTAGAACTGGCAGTTGGAAGAAACTTGTCTGATAGTAAAATCTCAACATATAATCTGTGTAACCTATCCAGAGGTGGTTCTTGAATATATTGACTTGACTTAACCCTGATTTTCGCTAAGCCATAGTAGTAATATAGCGGAGAAAGTATATGGCCATCAAATGTTACATGTCTTTTCCTTTTATACTGAAGCAAAAGGAGAAGCTGGTTCACAGCTTCCATCAGAAATCTCGTCGGTTGGCCGGGAGGATGTTACTAGCACCGAGGCAGCTCCAATGGAAGACAGCTCGGTGGCTCCGAGAGATCTGCCTGAGAACTCCATGGTCACCTGTGACTCCCAAGCCCTGAATATGCTAGCTGACCTAGCACTGAGTGCCGCTACTTCTGCCATGCCACCGTCTGAGCCCAGACACCTGCCCTGCTCCTCTGAATCACCGCAAAACGATGCTTTGCTTTCTAAAGAACATTCTGTACGTGGTACATCTGACCATGAGTATCACAGAGGAGTTAAAAATCAAAAAGGTACACTGTTACCTAAGCCCGCCTCTGAGAAGAAGAGTAGTCCGGCGTGCGACTGCCCGGTGAGCCAAGAGGAGGAGAGCTTGGCTCCCGCCAGTCCGGCCCCCGTGGCAGTCCCATCAGCCCTTCCCGAGGAGACACTAGAAACTCATGATGCAAGCCAAAGCTCTTTTGTTGCTGTGGAACATTCCTATGCCCTGCTCCTTGCGGAGCATTCGAAGAGATATCTACAGCAGAGAGGGATCCCCAGCCCTGCCTTCACCAAGAACGGCCCCAAAGGCCCTGAAGCGGGAACCCCAGTGGGGAAAGTGATGCCGTTCCGGCACCAGCAGAGCACCTCCCCACTGCAGAAGCTGTGCGAGGACCCGGCGCTCAAGCGCAGGAATAGGCTGCTGTCCTCCAGCCTGAGAGACTCCCATTGCTCTCATACCGTGTTCAGCTGTGACGGCTCCTATAAGGTCACTTTCAAATGTGACACAGAATATGTATTCAGCTTGGACAGCAAATATACCAACAACCCCCTGGAGAAGACCGTCATCAGAGCACTACATGGGTAGGTAGGAGGACGCTCCATGAAGTGGACATGACATTGGTGTTGAGATGAGCACAGTGGGGAGGAACCCTTGCGTCAGACCTTGGGGAAGAGAAGTGCTGTAGTGAATCCGGTAACTTAGTGGTATGAGGCAGGCATGGCTACTGACAACCGAGAAAATGACACTGGTTTTGCCACTGTCGGTGGTCCCATGGAGACCTTTTGCAAGCTGACATGGGCCCTGTGAACAGCTTTCCATTTCGAGATATTCCTACATAAGCCTTTGTGGTCTTTGAATTACAATATTTAAGTGAGATCTTAATGTAAAATTGTGAGATAGAGAAATAATGCTTTACAGACTGAATTCTGGAAGAAACATTTCAAGATTTACTTCTGGTTTGTTAAGCTGGTCAGGTTGTTCTGAGTGAGCAGGTTTACATAGGGTTGTTCTGTAAAGCCTTAAGGGGCCGAGGCAGGGACAGCAGAGGGACTGGAAGCACGGGCTTCGGAGTGTGGGCAGACGTGGGGGTTCGTGTAGGTTCTCCCACTCACCTGGCTTCTGTGACCTGGAAGAGGTTCCTGTGCTTCTCGGTCTTGACTGTGGGTACAGCTTATCTAGGGACCTCACTGAGGTGTAGATTGTGACTCAAGTCTGTTTGGGACAGGGCCTGTGAGTCTGCATTTCTAACATTTCCAGGGGATGCCAGTGGAGGATGGCCGTCCGTGGGGAACCCTTTGAGTACAGATTAGTAATAGCTACAGGTCAGGCTGCTGTGTGCCTGAGGGTTTTGCGCAGCGACTGGCACCTGCTAGTAAGTGCTAGTCATTACTGTTCGCAAGGAGCCTTGTGGCTGGGAATGGCACTCGGTTACCTCTCTGTGGAGTGTTCCCGAGGAGTGACTAAGTCGTATCAGACTTTGTCCACGCACTGGTTACCAGCTCGCACTCACGGGAGCACACATTTAACGTTCCCATCTACTTGGGGTCATTCCTTAACCTTCATCCTGCTTAACTGAAGCCCAGCTCTGCGACCCTCTGACTCTTCTCGTTGGTGCTGCTAACACTTTTCCCGGGCCAATGGTCAGAGACGTTTTCTCCCTGTGTGGTTTCAGGAGATTTTCCAGGACTATCGTGTGAAAGTAGTGTAGTTCTGCTGAATTGCCTATAAAGATATTTTAATTTTTAGACTTTCCAGTTGTTAGAAGAGACACACACAAATAGGAAAGAAATGAGTTGGCCAGGCTTGGCAGAAATGAGGATTTGGGTGGTTGCTGGAGCCATTATTCACATAATAGGTATATTGTGTCCAGACAGGGCTAGAGTGGAGTAAAAGAAAAATCATAGACCAGGACCCCGGAGACCTATGCTCCATTCGTGGCTCTACTGCGTAAGGGTTTTATGATCTAAAAGAAGTTACCTTTCAAAGCTCTGATTTCTAGTTCCCTCTTCTGCCTCTGTTAAGTGAGGGGATTAGATTCACTGTCATTATTTGTTACATTAACCTCATTTTTATCTTATTCATTATTTCATGTTCACGTATTTTTATTATAAAAATGAGCACCTTTAAAACTAAGATTAAAATCACCAGTTTCAGTGATTTTTTGCATGTTTTCTCTTTCTTTAAAATCTCAGGCCCTGGAACGCTGACTTGCCTGACAACGTGGAGGAAGTGAAGCTTTTACTGCACATGTGGGTGGCTCTGTTTTACAGCAATCAGAACAAAGTCCTCCGGTCATCCCGAAAAGTGGTAGAACACAGCAACCCAGCAAAATATGTGTCTATAAATAGCACATTAGAGTCTTTTGAATTCAGTGAAATCGAGGAGTCCTCCAGCGTGGAAAGATGTTCTGTAGACCCTCTGTTGGAGACCAGCGAAACTCCCAGAGGTCATGCTGCCGATGTGTCCTTCCCCGACACGGACTCCTTGCTTCCCTTCATGAAACCACCACCCGCAGGAGGCTTGGAGTTCTGGGTACAGAATGAACAGAAAGACATGTTTGCCAGAGAAGGTCATCCAGATCCCCCAGAAAGCCAGAATTTCATTTATTCTTGTCATAACGAGGTAAGTAAAACCCAACACTCTATGTGCTGACATTTTTGAAGAAATTTCTCTTTTTTCCTTGATGTAAAATCACATTCAAAACGTGCCATTGTTTCTTTTAGGAAGGTGGATTCTCTATATCTATGTAAAGGATAAATAATACCAAAAACTTAGTTTCCATAAATGTTGCTCTGGATTGTCTGCAGGTGGAGATTTTCTCCATCCTGACTGAAGAAGCAGACGTAGAAACAAACCATGGGGGTCACATGGGTCTGGGGCCAGCCATAATGGTATCACTTCTTAGCTGTATAATTTGGGGTAAATTATTTGTTCTCTCTGAGCATACTGTCTTATCCTTTAAAAGAGGTAAATAGGGATGCCTGGGTGGCTCAGTTGGTTGGACGACTGCCTTCAGCTCAAGTCATGATCCTGGAGTTCCAGGATCGAGTCCCGCATCGGGCTCCCGGCTCTGCGGGGAGTCTGCTTCTCTCTCTGACCTTCTCCTCACTCATGCTCTCTCTCACTGTCTCTCTCTCAAATAAATAAAATCTTAAAAAAAAAAAAATAAAAGAGGTAAATAATACCTGTTGTTACTTAGAATAGTTTTTTTGTTTGTTTTTTGTTTGAGAGAGCAGGAGCAGGGTGAGGGGTGCAGAGAGAGAGGGAGAAGCAGACTCGCTACTGAGCAGGGAGCCTGACACAGGGCTTGATCCCAGGACCGCGACATCGTGACATCATAACCTGAGCTAAAGGCAGACGCTTCACTGACTGAGCCCCTCAGACACCGTAGAATAGTTTTTAAAGATCAAATGCAATAATAAATATTAGAAGTCTTTGATAAACCTCAAACTGAAATGGAATATTTAAAAATTATTTGTGAAAACAAATGCTGGAACAGAAAGTACAATGCCAGGGTCCCCTAGGTCTGTCAGTAACTATTTATAAATATGGAAAATATATTTTGTTTGCTCCATGGTTCTCAGCTAATGTTCAGCAACAGCAGATCATCACATTTTAACTGGAGCAGATACAAGAGTTGTATCAAAAGTCTGTAAGGAAACGGACTGACAAAACATGGGCCTCTAAGGTTTCAGCATCCCTCTCTTCCAGAGTACTTTTGCTGTGGTTTGGGCCCTGCAGTGCCTGGTTTAACATTGAGTCGACAGCATTTCTGTACTTGGGATTACTTGGGGAATTGCGGGTCCAGGGGCAAGCCTCAGAGAGTCATGCTTGTCTTTATGGAAATGAAACCAGTGGCGTGCTGTGAGCCAGACACTGGTCTGCGCCTTCTGCTGACATGAGCTCAGTCTCACACAATCTGATGCAAAAGGACCACGCCCCTCTCTCACAGATCAAGGAAACTAAGTCTGCTTCTCTCTCTCCCCCTGCCCCTTCCCCTGCTTGTGCTCTCTCTCTGAAATGAATAAATAAATATATCTTTTTAAAAAAAGAATCTCGGGGCGCCTGGGTGTCTCAGTGGGTTAAGCCTCTGCCTTTGGCTCAGGTCATGATCCCAGGGTCCTGGGATTGAGCCCCAGGTTGGGCTACCTGCTCCGCGGGGAGCCTGCTTCCTCCTCTCTCTCTGCCTACTTGTGATCTCTCTCTCTGTCAAATAAATAAATAAATAAAATCTTTTAAAAAAATAAAAAAAGTATCTCTACCTTAGAATAAGAAAATAAAGTTTAGAAGACTGTTTACTACCCAATAAAGTATTTTTTGTTGTTTTAATCTGTAATTAGCTATCATCATTACTAATTCTAGAAATGGTGTTTTTGCAAATGTGAAACCAAGTATTAAGAAGTAGAAAGAGTATTAAAATTAATTTCTGTAGCATATACTTGAGTTTTTTCCCATCATCTCCTTGGCCGCTATGCCTGTACTTGAAAGGCGTGTGCACAGGTACTATCCCCTGCACCTTCCCCACATGGGCGTACTAGGTGTGCAGAACACCCCAGCACCACAGGCATGAGAGACCATTGACATGTTGCTCTTAGTCATGTGTTTGATTCTGTTGTATGAATAAAAAGAACCAAATAAAATAAAAAGTTCTTTATGTTTAAACACATTATACTTCACAATAGTTAAAAAAAGGAAGTATCGGGGCACCTGGGTGCCTCAGTGGGTTAAGCCTCTGCCTTTGGTTCAGATCATGATCTCAGGGTCCTGGTATGGAGCCCCGTATTGGGCTCTCTGCTGAACAGGGAGTCCTCTTCCTCCTCTCTCTCTCTGCCTGCCTCTCTGCCTCCTTGTGATCTTTGTCAAATAAATAAATAAAATCTTTTTATTTTTTTTTAAAGATTTTATTTTATTTATTTATTTGACAGTCAGAGATCACAAGTAGGCAGAGAGGCAGGCAGAGAGAGAGGAAGGGAAGCAGGCTCCCTGCTGAGCAGAGAGCCCGATGCGGGACTCGATCCCAGGACCCTGGGATCACGACCCGAGCTGAAGGCAGCGGCTCAACCCACTGAGCCACCCAGGCGCCCCTAAAATCTTTTTAAATAGTGTCCGTACACACACAGGAAGCTGGTGACAATTTGCATTTCACTAAGTCTGCAGGCATGGTGAGATTGGCAGCCACGTTGTGACTGAAGGGTCACGGGAAGGTTTCAGAATGACTCTTACCATCAAGACTTTCCTGTGCTTTGTGTCTGGTCAGTCAGTCCCTCTTAAAATGGAGTCTTCGCTCTACCCTGCCATGTATGTGGGTCAGTGCCTTTCTGTAAGACAGAAGGTCTTTTTAACAGACTTGAAGCCCAGGTCTTGACTTTCAGCATGATCACCTGAAGGCATGGCAGGAATCTGTGACCAATAATGTTCCAAAAATTACAGGTGTATGGTCAGTGATGATCAGTCCATTTTATCATATTCTGGACAAGACCATGCTTCAGCCTTAAAACAGCCTGTTCATGAGGTCATTGGAATGTCCAGAGATTTTCTGCTAATGTTTAACCTAAATCCTTCCTGCAGTCCTTTTGGTTCAGTTCGGCAGTGCAGGCTGCACTGTTTTCTGTTGTTCTGTTGAGTAGGAGGCACTAAAACGAGACCTGACCTCCAGTTACAAACAAGCAAAGAAGATGGCTAAGGAGTAGATCTTTATTTACCAGAACGGAGGTTGACACCTCGGAAGAACTGCCGATCAGTCCTCCTTCATACAAGGGATCCTAATTTACTCTTCCTCATGGGAAAGTTCCAGATGGCAGTGTATTTTATTCTGATTGAAAGCTGGTGTTTAAGTTGTTCTTGGCTTTAAAAATTATCTTTTAATCTTAAAAAGAAGCACTTAAAACTGAGTTGTTTTTTCTCTAGTACTGCATTTCTGCATCAGGCGGTGTGGTTAGCAAACAGACTGCACTTTGAGGTCTTCATAATGTCATTGGTCTGGCCGCTTTTCTTCCCAAAAGGCAATTTAAAAAAAAAAAAAAAAGGCTATGTAGTTGAAGGTTTGAAGCTCTCATTTGTGTGTATATTTATTTAGAGAAAAATTCCTATTTGGGGCTCTCTTTTCCTAAAAAGAGAGCAATTTGCTTGATTTCTACCCTGTGGTAGTCTTTAAAATTAGAAGATTCAAAAGAACAAACTGACACTGATTCTCATCCACTCTGTTCTTCTCCACACGTAAACGTGAACAAAGAGTCTGTTTGACTCTTGATTTTTCTTTCTGTCATTTCAGATTATTGGGGAAGAAGCTGAACGAGGCCCATCAGATAAGCTGGAGACTTCCAGTCTTGTTCTTGCTAGTACTGGAAGTACCCAAACTAATGGACCTGCCATTCCCGGCGAAGACAAAACCTTTGAGCCACTTGATAGCACAGGAGTGACTTACAACGATACGGTCCCACAGACCACATTCAGCAGGACTTACGATGGGCTCGGCGGTCCGCCAGTGATCTGTCGGAAATCTGCGTACGGCGCCCATGACAGCGCGGGGGATGTCTTCCATGCAGCGGTGCAAACAGAACCCAGTGCTCTCCAGGGCCTCATCCGGCAGAGCAGCCCCCTGAGCGGAGACTGTCAGCCTGCCCTGGAGAGGAAGGATGATCCAGAGTATGTGATGATTAATCTGGAACCAGTTACCTTCACTTTTGGAAAAAATACCTACGTCCCAGTACAGACAGACGTTGTAAATGCAGGCTGCGAACCGACAGCCTTTCATCCGGAGTGGATTACACCAGTGTCACCTGCCGGGAGTCTGAGGCGTCCTGCGCCTGCTTTTGAAAAGGCACAAACACAAGGCCTTAGGGACGGTCCCTCTCCCACAGCGTCCAAGCAGAAAGGTACTAAGTACCTTTGCGCCTCCTCACTCAGCAAAGAGGTACCTGCAGAAGAAATGTGTTCGCTGCGAAAAGAGATTCCCGTTCCATCCGGCAGCTCGGTGGTGGCGGAGGCGTTGTCATCCGTTGAAGGTTCTAATTATCCGTCACCCGGAGAAGAGACGAAGCCCTCTCAAGAGCTTTTCCTGCACACCCCGAGTCTCCTTGGCATATCTGCGGAAGAGATCATAGAGCCGTCCCAGGTGGAAGACGCAGTCTCGCCAGCCACCTCTGCCGCCTTGGGACACGGTTCCGCGCGTGACCGCGCTCCGCCGGCGGGTGGCGCCGCAGACGGCTCCTCAGAGCCGGTGCGTGACGGGCGTGGGCTGAAGAGTGAGCAGAGGAACTTTGAATCCTTTCGTACCGCCTTTACCAAACAAACCTGCCTCTCGGGGAGCAGAGAGGAGGCCAGCCTGGAGTTCTCTGAGGAGGATTCCGACATCGACCTCACTCTCACGGTATCGCCGCCCACCAGCCCCAGAGAAGAGGTGCCGGCCGGGGGACCGGGGGAGGCCCCCATGGCAAGTTTGGAACTTCAGGACGCGACTGAAGAGATCATTGGGCCAGAAGAGGTGACTCTCCTAGAAGACCCAGAGGTAGATTCTGCGAATTATACCTCCATGTTCCCTACGATGCCTGAGAAGTCGTTAGAAAGTAAGGAGAGAAAAGGTGATAATTTACAAACCGTTACCTTAATACTTTCTAAAGAAACTTGCGCCCTTGAGATCGCAGAGGAGGTGAATGTCACCTCAGACTTTCCTTTTGCTTCTTTAATTGAAGAAGTGTCACCAGCTTCCAGTCCTGACCGCCAAGATTCAGTCGAAGCAGCACATCGACCTCAGGCCTTGTCTCTGTGTGGTCTGCAGCTGGCCAGTACACTGGGTGAGGGAAATGACCGATTCTCCCAGATCGAGTCTGTAAACTTGGCCTTGACGGAGAAAGAACATTCTTTTGTTGGTCCTACTCATCCTGTGGGACAAGATAACTTACGTGGAGTACAACAGATGCAGCTCTGTGCTGAGATGCCTGTCGTAGGAAGTAAGCATCCAGAAAGAAGAGATGGCTGTCTGACCCTGCCTGGTGAACTAACTGAGGAGATTGGCCCAGGGGAGCATGGCGAGGGTCTCTCTTTCTCAGAAAAGCTGCCGTTCTGTGCTGCGGAGCTGAGCCAGCCTGCCTCAGCTGCCAGATACGGAGAGGATGTCAAGCTTTCTCTAGAAAAACTGGTGCCATCAGGAAACCCACTGCAGCCAGTTAGCGTACAAAACAGGAATTTCAGTTCTCTTGTCTTGGAGACCAGTGAGCCTCCACGTAGTCCTACAGAGATGATTGAAAATAAGTCTTTGGCGGACACGTTTGTTTCTACAACTGCTCCAAGTGGTACAGTGAATGTGGCACTAAAAGAGCAGACCGGCCCTGAAAGTACTAGGAATCATCTCTTCAGCGGTGGTGTGAAGACAGATGAAGGCCTTTACCTGCAGGCTCGGTCCTTGAGCTCTTGCTCAGCTGGCGGGGCTGATACACAGACGCGTGGGCACTCAGAGAGCCCCAGACTGGCTTTTCCCTCAGATGGGGCTGCCTTACCCCACTGTCTCAGACCCACGGACACAGAGACCGGGGTCCAGACACAGGAAATCTCAGTGGTCAAAATGGCCAGTTTGCTTAAGAATAGTGATGCTGAGGCCAGGTTCCATGAAGAGGCCACAGATCTAGGAGGTGTTGACTCCCAGTCTAGCGCCACGTCTCCGGAAGACAAACCAGACCCAGTTCATGTGCTGCAAGATAGGGCAGTGTGTGGAACAAAAGATCTGCTGGACGCTGGGCTTTTCCCCATGTGTGTACCTGCGGATTCATACCATAAAACAGCCATCACTGGTGAAAATACCAGTAGAGAGCCTTGTGCTTCCGTTGTTCCCCCGACTTGTGCCCCTCTTGTTTGTGGAGTCTCTGAAGAGCAGACAGCAAGTCAGGGCTCTGGTGAGGGGCTCAGAGCCGAGGAGGACTCGGGGACCGTGGGTAGAGATGTGGATGTCAGTGTGAATTCTGAGATCCAGTATGAGCCGCTTTCTGGAGAGTCTGATCAGGACTCTTGTGGGGGCTGTAGAAATCCCAAATCAGAGGTAGAGAGTTCCTGCCCTTTGAGGTGTAGTCAAACCAAGAAAGAAGAAGATACTTCGAAAGATGATTATGACTCTTTCCCGAGCCTAAATAACAGTGATAATGAAGAGTGGGGCTACTCTCCCCCTGCCCCAGGGCTGGAGACGGGCACTGCTCCCAGACACTGGCTCTTTGGGTTCAAGAAAGAAGACAGGTATGTGCCCTCGTATATCCAGATCCGAGACCTCCACGGCATCCCCAGGACTTACGCTAATTTCACCGTAACTAAATTGCTGACAGATACCACGAGAACTTTGCACAGCCTGAGGCGGCACCCCAATTTCACTGCAAAGTGTGGCTTGCTCAGCTCCTGGACAAACACCTGGCAGGTGGCAGATGACCTCACCCAGAACACTTTGGATCTGGAGTATCTGCGTTTTGCACATAAGCTAAAACAGACCGTGAAGAAGCGAGATTCTCAGCCTTCTGCCTCCTCCACCAGTATCTTTGCAAAGGAGGCCCCTCTCCAGATGGGTGCTGGAGCTTTCCCTCTGACAAGAGTCCCTGAGTCCCCGGCTCCGCAGCTCGCGTCCCGCAGCCGGAGTCCCCTTGTGGTAACGGTGGCGCACTTGGGCGCCGGGCAGCGGAGCCCGCGCGGGAGAGGCCGCGCGCCGGGCAGTTGGGACGGTTCTTCCTTGTGGAGGGAGAGCGGTGGCCCCGGTAGAAAGCCGCGAGCAGATTCCGAGAGAAACCAGGCGGCTTCGTTCCACCTCAACAGGCTGAGGTACAACACCAATTTCAGAGAATCCCGGAACGATATTTCACTTATCCTCAGCGAATACGCCGAGTTCAACAAGGTGGTGGCGAATAGCAAGGCGGCGCTTTTCCCCGACAGGGAGTGCGGCGGGGCCCCTGGGGAGGCCGCCCCTCGCGAGCCGCGCGCCGCCTTCCCGCAGGCGGCCTCCTACGAGGACCTGGTCGCGGACCTGTGCGCCAGCCTGCACGTCAGACTGATGAGCGTGGTCAAGGCGGCCTGTCGGAGCCCCTGCCTCTTCTACCTCGCGGAGACCGGAGACCCGTCGTTCTCTGTGAGAACAAAGGTACGGTGCCCGCCGCCGTCCGACGTGGTCTCAGAGCTCACGGGTCAGCATGCTAGGCTCCAGAGAGAAGTGACAGGAAGGGGCCTCGGGCTGTGACAGCCCCGTCCTCACCCGCACGCTGGCTGCTCCGCCGCGGTCATGGGCCCCGCGTTGGCCTGGCGCCCGCGTCACCTGTGCTTGTCGAGTCTCTCCGTTTTCCTTGTGATCTCTGCTGACCTGGACAGTGTGGAAGAGTGTAGGCGAGTGACGTGAGAGTTTGCTTCGCTTCATGGGCGTCTCCTGTTGCCGCGGGATTTATGCATTTCAGGTGAAAACAGCCACGTCCGCTGTTCTCCTCAGTGCGTCGTAGGAGGTGGCACACGCCGCTGACTTGTCCCGTCGCGGTGTAGTCATGTCTTTCGTGTGAAGATGGTTTCTGCCAGGTTCCTCCGCCTCCAATGTAAAGTTCATAAATAACTTTACATTAATTAATTATAAAGGAATTATTGTTTATAATAATATATTAATGGTATAGTAATATAAATTTATCATTTATTTATTCATAATTACTAATGATTATTTGAGGGTGGGAGGTAGACTAGGATATATATAAATACCCTATTCTTCATCGGACTTGCATCCCCCTGGGTTAGTACCATTGACGATTCTTGCCTAAAGCAGCTGCTAATATGGTGGGGGTCGAATTCCATCTTCCTCGCACATTTATTAGTGGGCGGTATGCAGGGGAGAGCTTTCCCGTCTCCCCCACTTGCTTATTGATACCCCGTGGACCCGCGCTCCATGTTCATTTGCTCGGAGTTACCGTCCAGGCCCTCGTGTGTGCTCATTGCGGGCGTCATAGGTGCCACAGGTGTGCTCGCTAACCCCACCTCCCAGCCTTCCCCGCCGGCGACCAGGAGTGTGTTCCCTACAGCTCAGAGTCTGTTTCTTGGTTTGTTTCTCTCTTTTTTTTCCTTTCCGTGTTTGTTTTGTTTCTTAAACCCCACATATGAGTGAGATCCTGAGCTACTTCTCCTCGGATGGATTTACTTCGCTCAGCGTAATAGCCTCAGGCTCCCCCGCGTCGTGACCGTGGCCAGATTTCATGGTGGAGTCGTACACCTGTGCACGTGTGTCCACACACCCCTTCACCCGTGCACCCGTCCCCGGATGCTTGCGCTGCTTTGGAATTTGGCTGTTGGAGATAATGGTACAGTAAACATAGGGTGCACGTGTCCCTTTGATTTAGTGGGTTTGTTCTGTAGGTTAATACCCAGTAGTGAGATTGCTGGATCGGAGGGCAGTCCTAGTTCGAACTTTCTATGGAGCCTCCTTACTGTCTTCCAGAGTGGCTGCTCCAGTTTGTGTTCCCACCAGCAGGGCACGAGGGCTCCCATTTCTCCACATCCTCGCCAGCACTTTTTTCTTGTGGGGTTATTTTTTAAGGTTTTTATTATTATTAATTTAATTAATCTCAACACCCAATAAGGGGTTCAGACTCACAACCCCAAGGTCAAGAGTTGCACAGTCCTCCTGCTGAGCCAGCCAGTCACCCCTCTTGTGTTGTTGAGTTCAGCCATTGTGACGCGTGTGAGGTGGTATCTCCTTGTCGTTCTGATTTGCCTTTCCCTGATGGCGGGTCATGTTGAGCATCTTTTCATGGGTCTGCTGGCTCTGTGTATGTCTTTGGGGAAATTATTGTTTATACTTTCTGACCATTTTATACTCGAATTATTTGTTTTTTTGGAGTGTTGAGTTTGATAAGTTCTTTATATATTTTGGATACTAACCCTTTGTCAGAGATGTCATTTGCAAGTATTTTCTCCCATTGAGTAGGTTGCCTTTTAGTTTTGTTGATTGTTTCTTTCATTGTCCAGAAGCTTTTTATCTTGAGGTAGTCAAAATAGTTTGCTTTTGCTTTTGTTTCCCGTGACTCAGGAGATGTGTCTATGAAGAAGTTATGATTGATGTGAAAGAGGTTACTGCCTATGCTTGCTTCTAGGTTTTCTTTTTATCTTTTTTCTTTTTTCTTTTTTTTCTTATGTTTCAGAAGGTCTCACATTTAGGTCTTTAATCCATTTGGAATGTGTTTGCGTGTGTGGTGTAAGAAAGTGGTCCGGTTCATTCTTCTGCATATGGCTGTCCAGTTTTCCCAGCACCATTTGTTGAAGAGACTTTTTCCCACTAAATATTCTTTCCTGCTTCGTCGAAGATTGATTGATTATATAGTTGTAGGTTTATTTCTGGGTTTTCTATTCTATTCCGTTGATCTGTGCGTCTGTTTTTGTGCCAGTGCTCTGTTGTTTTAATCACTGCTGTTTTGTAATGTAACTTGAAATCTGGAATTGTGATGCCTCCAGCTTTGTTTTTCCTTTTCAAGATCGCTTTTGGCTATTCCGGGTTTTCTGTGGCTCCGTGGTTCTTCGTTGGAGTTCTGGGAGCAGTGCTGTTGGTATTTTGATAAGGATTGAATTAAATGTGTAGATGGCTTTGGGTCGTATGGACATTTTAACAGTATTTGTTTGGGTCCTTCATTATTTATGGTAATGCCCACATTGCCCCAGACCCAGCCAGTGGGAGCCCTTTATAGGGACTTCTGTGGCCTTCTGGCAAGTCCCCATCATTGTTTGGATCTTCATCCTTTCTTCCTTTGTGGTACGACTCCATGTTCAGATTGACCTCCTGCCTTCCTTGCCCCAGCCTTAAAGTCTGCCATTTCCCTACGGAGTGTGGATTCTTTTACGGGAGGAACAGCATCCGGAGTCAGTAGCTGGGCCCTGGGTGAACCCTGTGGCACTAGGTGTCACTGCCTCTCGGCCCTCCCAGCAGCAGGAAAGCTGTGGATATGTTCACAAAACTGAAACGCGTGCACCTGCATCCCTGGGTCCAGTCCAGCACCAGGAGGCTTGTCCTGGCTCCCTTTGCCGGAGGAGCAGCTCTCCCCCCTGCGTCAGAAAGCCGGCTCCCGTCATCCCAGACACGTCCGCCACCCTGCGGCTACCCCCCCTGCTGACCTGCACCTCACCCCCCACTGCCCCCAACCCCCCCCTCCAGCCCCCTCGTCACGGCCTGGGGCACCCACCCAAAGCGGTCCCCAAACACGCCGCCTCCCTCAGCCCTCCTCGCAGCAGAAGCTGGTTCAAAGGACGGCAGTCCTTCGTACTCGCTCTCGAGTCCCGGCGTGTGGGGGAGGGAAATCGGTGCGTTCCTGTCGTGATCCTTGCAGCCAATGTAAACTGTCGTGTAAACTAACGAAAGCTGCCGAACACCGATAAAAGCAGCCAAATGAGCGCCAGATCAGCGGGCTGGGACGGGCCTCGGCCAGGGCAGGGGCTCGGGCGCTGATGTGGGGGCAGAGGCCTAGTCAGGAAGGTCAGGGCCTTTTTCTTAAGGAGGCGATGCTGGCCTCTGGTACGAGGTGTGGACAGCCGGACGCCCTAAGTGTCGTCGTTGTAAACGTTCGCCTAGATTTGTTTCAGAGTTCGCTTATGTCACAGCACCTCCAGGGAGTGCGGGGCATCTGTCTTGTCCTGAGTGTCGCTTGGCAAACCCACGCGTGCTGAATTACTAACAGTAAACATCGGGAAGTGTTTGTGACCGTCACCGTGGCAGGGCGCGGTAGGGGAGGCCAGTTCTGCGAGTGTGAGGCTCTGGAAGGCGACCTGGTGGCAGCTGCCTGGTGGACCTGCGGGGGGCAGCGGGCGGCGCGCGGCCGGCGGTGCGGGGGCATCACGCCCGCTCTCTGGAGCTGTGGCTGGAGGTGTGCACGGGCTGCAGGTCCCAAGGCCCTGAGCCTCGCCTGAGGTCGGTGGGGAGGCCCTGAACAATACTTGTTACAGGAAAGTAACGTCCTGTTCGTGTTGGAGAGCGAACTCTGGCTGCAGTGTGCGGAAAGGACTGGAAACGTGACCGCTGCGGGGCTGGCGCGGGACGCTGCGGTCAAACACGTCATCTACTCTGAGATGGCCCGTGGCTCCTATTTTGTGCCATTGAAATGATTTTAGATTAAAGTCAGATTCTTACTTCCCATCAAGGATCCTTCGGTTTTCCAAGGTTGGTCTTTGTTCCAGTCTCCGTGCCGCTGTGGTACGCCGTGGAGTCAGAAACAGTGAAGCGTGTTTTTAGGTGCTTGGCCTCTGAAAGTAACTTAAAAATGAATTGGGGTTTTTTTGCCTTGAACTGAAGTTAATTTTGTTTGGCTGATGACATGTACTGTGCCTTGACCGGTGCTGAAATACGTCCGGGGCCGACTCCGTAGCATCAAAGCCACAGTGAGCGAAACACCTGGTGTTTCGGAGCCGTTCACGCCCCGACAGAGCGAGGGGTTGCGGGCTCCCGCGCGGGACAGGGAGCGGGGTCACCGGGCTCCGTTCGCACAGCGGCGGGACCTGGGGTGCCACACGGCCTTCCAGCGCACACGTGCCTCACGACCCTGTTTATCCTGTGGCTGCTGCTTATGACAGAAAATAACAAAGTTTGTGCAGAGGTGAAAGTCACTTCAGGGGACGCCTGGGGGCTCAGTGGGTTAAGCCTCTGCCTTCAGCTCAGGTCATGATCTCAGGGTCCTGGGATCGAGCCCCACATCGGGCTCCCTGCTCAGCGGGGAGCCCGCTTCCCCCTCTTTCTGCCTATTTGTGATCTCTCTCTGTCAAATAAATAAATAAAATCTTTTAAAAAAAAGTAATCTTCAAGTGAGAAGGGGACCCGGTATAAAATCAGCTTCGGAATAAAGTACTAGCAAGGTAATCTCGAGCAAAGTATTTTTTTTTTTTAAGGGAATGGTTAAAACCCCGCATGAGTGGTTTTTTTTTTTTTTAAGATTTTATTTATTTATTTGAGAGAGAGTGAGAGAGAGAATGAGCGAGGAGAAGGTCAGAGAGAGAAGCAGACTCCCCGTGGAGCCGGGAGTCCGATGCGGGACTCGATCTCAGGACTCCAGGATCATGACCTGAGCCGAAGGCAGTTGTCCAACCAACTGAGCCACCCAGGCGTCCCTAGAGCAAAGTATTTTTAAAAACCACCCTGGACAAGTTTTGGTCCCGGAGAGGCCGGAGGCATTCAGGGGAGACAGGAAGTCAGGCGCCACCTCTCTGTGAGATGACGCTGCGGGAGGTCCGCTGTGACTGCAGGTGTGCCGGGTGGTGACAGACTAGCCTGGACTCCGAGGCACGTGGCAAGGGTGTTGACCTTCTCAGAAAATGTATTCATTCACGTAGTTTATTGCTAAATTAAGTCAGAGCTGAAGATTTATATTTAAAATGTTTTAGCGGGCTCTTTGTTAAAAGATCTGGAGGAGTTTGTTTGAAGATATGTTGCCATGTGTTTGAGCGAAGAAGCGAGATAATCAAGTTTGAGTCGTGTTGAGTCCAGGGGAGGTGACTCGGTACTTCCACCAAGGGAGGGACACGTGTGGTCTGACACCATGTTCCCCCGGCAAGGAGGAACATCAGGGAGTGCGGCGGAAACCTCCAGAACCCTTCAGACAGAAGCAACGGAGGCATCACGAAAGGGGACAGAGGGAAGGACTGTCTCTCAGCTGACAAGCTGAGGCCGCCAGTCAGGCCGGCGACCGGTGGGCGGCCAGCCGCCTCTCCCCGCCGCCCCCAGGGGCTCGAGCCACAGCTGATCATGGCACTCCACGTGACACAGAGCTGTCACTTGGATTCCAAAAGTTCTAGAAACTTTTTGACCGGAGGTGGCGTTTTTAGAGTGAATGTCTGCGTCCGCAGGGTGCCTTGCTGCCACAGGCCGGACGAGAGCCCCATGTCTGTGCATTGGGGAGTCTGCCTCGGCCACTTCATGGGCATACAGGGTCGATTACAAAGTGCTTTGCCTTTGAAACGACCGCTCAGTCAGCTGGTGGCAGTGCCCAGGAGCCACGTGTTTGACATGTGAAAGCTCACTTGGAAGCAGGACTGGCTGCCGCCGCCGCCCACTGGGACAGTTGAGTGAATGGGATGTGCTTGCCAAGGTGCTGAGGGGACTGGGAGGGACTGTGTGCCAGCGCCCTCCTGCAGTAATGTCATCCGCACCTCTTCCAGAGCATCCTGAGGAAAGGGGGCCACACGGAAATTGAACCTCAGCATTTCTGTCAGGCCGTCCACAGAGAGGATGACACACTCCTGGTCATCATCAGAAATGAGGATACAGCGTCGCGCCTGCACCAGGTACGTCCGGCCGTCTGTTTCTTACGAAGAAGGATGTCCCCGGCATTTTCTGGGGTGTCCCGAGGGGGCGTCCCGCAGGCCAGTGTACATAGCGAGGCATTTGTGGGGCACGTCACGGCTCCGAGCTAGGGACGAGCCATGAAGAGAGGGAGTCCGGGGACATTTCCTTGGCCGAGATATAAACCTGTAGCTCTTCACACCTAACGGTAGCAAATCGTGCTTTAAAAGGCCTTGTGAAAGTTTTCTGCAGTGGGAGGGTATTTATGTTGAATAAAAGCAGACGCCTCCCCCGAGGCCCAGGCCGGGCTGCCTTCCGGGCAGGAGCAGAACCTGTCACCTGCTTCGCCGCGTCACCGGCCCCGCCGCTGAGCCGCGCTCTGCCCTCACTCAGGGTCTCCAGCCTGGGTTTGAGAAGCCACTGGTAACACACGAGTTCTAGGGAGTTTGCGGAGTCCAGGTTCCTTGAGGTGCTGGTGGGCTTTGGACAGGGGTCGCAGAATTTGCAGTCATCCGAGTTAACTGAATCTTGAACCCGTTGGCTAAAAGGGACCCCACCAACCCCTCCTCCCCGTGGATCCTGTCGTGTTTGCAGATCCCCTTCCTGCTGAAGCTGAAGCACTTCCCCAGCGTCCTCTTCGCGGGAGTGGACGGCCCCGAGGACGTGCTCGAGCACACCTACCAGGAGCTCCTCCAGACGGGCGGCTTCGTGGTCTCGGACGACAAGATCCTAGAAACCATGACATTAGGTCGGTCTTTTATTTTCCTTCCTTGTTTCTGTCTCTGAAATCTCGTACATCCGTTGCTCTTCACCCAGTGGCCCAAACACTACTTCATCTCAGAAAGAAATGAACTCAAAAGTAGTATCAACCACCACCTTTTTTTTTTTTTTAAAGATTTTATTTATTTATTTGACAGAGAGAGAGATCACAAGTAGGCAGAGAGGTAGGCGGGGCGGGGGGGGGGTCAGGCTCCCTGCTGAGCAGAGAGCCGGATGTGGGGCTCGGTCCCAGAACCCTGAGATCATGACCTGAGCTGAAGGCAGAAGCTTAACCCACTGAGCCACCCAGGCGCCCCGACCACCACCTTTTGAGGCCTTCATTTTTGCTGCGTGCCCTGCTAAGCAGTTTGCGTCCGGATCGCGTCGTTCTCATCCCCAGGCACGTGCCCTGAGCCTCCCGGGTGTCACGTGATCACCTGCGGCACCCACCGGCTCCTCTGTTCCTCGGCTCGGGCGCCTGCCCCGCGGCCCTCTCTGCTGCCCTCTTGGTGATGTTCTGGAAATCAGAAACAAGGCTCTTCAAAGTCTCAATTATGTGCCGGACACTCCTAATTCCCTTCTCTCTGGGCAGCGGTTAGGCAAGAAGGAGGGTAGCGCAGCCCTGGGCGGGTGCTAATTATACGGGTGATCGACACCTGCCGCGCTGATGTCACGGTGCAGCTCCCCACACACGCTGCTCCTGGCTCAGAGAAGGCGTGTGGACCCCACAAGCGTGAGTTCCGTGTGGAGACCAGAGTTGACGGGTTTTGCAGGCTAGACCAGTGTCTTCTGTGGCCGCTGGACTTCCCGCTGGTCACATGAATGCGACAGGTGTCCCAGGGTTGGGGCGGCTGACGGGCAGCAGGGCTGGTGCGCTCTGCCTCCTCATGAGTCCCAGTTCCCGGCCTCCGACCAGACTTGTCTCTTCTGTCTGCAGCTCAGCTGAAGGACGTGGTCAGGACCCTGGAGAAGCTGAACAGAAACGGGAGGTGGAAATGGCTGCTTCACCACAGGGAAAACAAGAAGCTAAGAGAAGACACCAGGTGAGGCCTTGGGGTGCGGGGCAGCCTTCGTGCTTCCCACTGGGGCCCGGGGGCAGGTGCGCAGGTGGGTTCCAGCATTTGCTGTTGCAGGGCTGATGGGGAAGGCGTGTGGGCTGGGGCTGGAGCCGCCACTGCGAGTCTGAGGCCCTTGCCGAGTCCGGAAGTGTCGGTCCGCTGAAGCTCTGGCTCTCCTAGCGTGAACCGGAGGGAACGCAACACTAGACCTGTGGGCTGGGGCTGGCTTGTTCGGGTACCAAGTTGCCACAGTTACAGGGATGGAACGTTGAGATCAGAATGTTTTACCCCTAAGTAAGCAATGTACAGCTGGATTTTGCCGAAGTATTTTTTTTTTTTTTAAAGATTTTATTTGTTTATTTGACAGAGAGAGATCGCAAGTAGACAGAGAGAGAGAGAGAGGGAAGCAGGCTCCCTGCTGAGCAGAGAGCCCAATGCGGGACTCGATCCCAGGACCCTGAGATCATGACCTGAGCTGAAGGCAGCGGCTTAACCCACTGAGCCACCCAGGCGCCCCTTGCCGAAGTATTTTTTAATCGATTGCCTGGCTGAAGAGACCTGGGGTGTGTAGGTGCCCCGGGCTGCAGTGAGGCGAGGATGGGAGCAGACATGGTGTGGGGCCACGAGATTGACAAGCCCCCCGTGAAGTGACTGGCAGCCCCTGTCAGGCAGCCCCTGCCTGGCCTCCTACAGCAGAGACAGACAGTAAAAACCTGCTGTCACGATGGGGAAGTTGAAGTTTGGGGACGACAGAGCTGATCCAGGTCAGACAAGGAGTTGTGATGCTGGGCTCTGAGCCCAGAATGGTCACCTCTAACATGACTGCTCTCTCCTATCTCCCTCCCAAGGACAAACGTAGGCCTGACCCTGAGATCTCAAAAGGGACGTGGCCAAGAGCAGATGTCTGGGAGAGGCAATACCTAGAACCAGTGTGGGAGAAAAAGCAAGCCAGAAGGTCTGAGTGGACCTCAGAGCTGATGCTGTCCCATCTGGGAGGGATTTGCCCAGGTTGAGCTGGGGGGTGGTGCAGAGGCTGGCAGAGGCCAACTGGGAGTTTCTGAGGAGGTGGCTAGCCAGCACTTCAGAGGAAAGGTTCAAGTTCACGAATAAAGCTCCAAGGTACCATGGTTCACCTATAAAACTGGCAAGTATCCATTAATTTCACATTCAAAGGACTTTAGGTAAACGAATAGGTATGCTGCTGCTGGCCCCGTTAACAGGCCCTCCAGATGGTACCAGACTCACATTTGAGAGCGAGTGTAGTAAGAATTCATCCGAAAACATCCTATCCTGTGGCCTCTGGAGGCATTTATCTAAAACTTAAAACCAAAAACACCCCTAGCTTTTAGAAACTGCTGTTTCTAAAAGATATTTATAGCCATGGGTGATTATCAGTAACTATAAAACCGGTCTCAGATCTATTTCTAGGCAAATACAACAGATACATGGATTCCATACGTATATAATTTTATAACAAATTTTAAAACAAATTAAAATATATGCATAAAAGCATGTAGTGTGATGCCAGTCACATAAATCTGCGTGTACGAAGGGGAAAATGCAGCCCAGTGCCCCAGACAGTGCTCGTCCCTGGAGTGCGGTGACCTGGGGGAGTCTGCTTTCCTTCAGTGGACAGGGGAGGCCGATGGAGGACAGGAGAGCAGATGGAGGGACATTTACAGGTTAAGTATTTTCCACTAAAAGAGGAAGAAAAGAGGTAGTTGCAAGATTTTAAGGGAGGTCATAGAGCATCTGCGCGGCTCAGTCGGTTAAACGTCTGACTCGATTTCAGGTCTGGTCGTGATCTTGGGGTCGGGAGATCGAGCCTCACCTCGGGGTCTGTGCTGAGCACAGAATCTGTTCAAGTTTCTCTCTCCCTCCTGCTGCCCCTTGCACCAGCGCATGCATGCACGTGCTCTAAAAAGAATCTTAAAAAAAAAAAAAAAGATTTTAAGGGAGGTGAGAAATGACAAATTATGGAGCAGCGGGAATTTCCTCAGTGAAGCTGTTGATCTAAGAGCGTGGTGACCGCGGAACGGGGTTTGGAGGCATTGGTGTAGGGTAAAGCGTGCAGCCAGAGGCCCACTAGGAAAGGCCCAAGGCTGGCCAAGCCGCATGGCTGCACGAACAGGTCCATGTCCCTCTTGCTTGGCACGAGGCTTATACTCTGTAAAAACCTGCGTCGCCACAGGGAGTCAGCGAGCATACAGTGTTTTGAGGGAAGACGTCTGTGAGGCCAAGTGTGTCGTGGGGAAGAACAGAGGTTAGCAGCAGCGCAGGAGTTCTGAGGGCTTTAAGGCAAGAGGTCGAACTGTTAAGTATGGTGCAGGCAGGAAGTGGAGGAGTAAAACAGCTAAAAATTAAGATACGGGGAAAAGTAAACCGCAAGTTCATACTGAACCTGAATTTGGTTTGCATTTCCGTGTCTGTTGCAGAGTGGACTCGGTCGCACGCAGGAAGAACTTAATCCTGAAATCCTGTCAGAGCGCAAATCTCATCGAACCACTTCCTTACCACCAGTGTGACTCCCGAGCACCCACGAAAGCGGAACATTTAAAATGCCTGCTAAACCTGCAAGTCCAGCACGTCCACGCCCGGTTCGCCGTCTTCCTAACAGGTAGACGCATGGCCTTCGGCTGGCTACTCTAGAAACGTCTGCGCACGGAGCTTGGAGGCCGGAGATCTGTGCCCACCCGGTGTTTGCCTGCCATGTTCTCGTAGATGCGGCGGCCCGCCCCCCTCATGCATACTGACGGGTTTCCGGTGAGGGTGACCCAGCTTCTCGGCTCCGGAAGGTGGGCGGTTCCGCAGCTGTTCGGCCTCCCTGGCCCTACACCTGGCGCCTGCTCCCAAAGCCCCACACCTTCCTCCCAGGGACTGCTCCTCCCCTCCTCTCCCTCCATGGATTAAATGCAGTTCCATGAAAGTTCGTTATTGTTTTTTTAAATAAAAGTTCTGATGCTTCAAAAAGTATACATCAAAGAATTTTTCACCAAAAAAGGTGTTTTTTTTTTCTCTTCACAGAAAAGCCAACTGTTTCCAGAGAAGTCTTTGAAAATGGTGGCATCCTTGTTACAGATGTAAATAACTTCATTGAAAACATACCAAAAATAGCAGCTCCGTTTAAGAGCAGCTATTGGTAAGGACACCTTCCAGAACTCTCCTGTGTTTACGGGGCATGACAGACACTGACATTTGCGTCTGAGGAAAGCTGTTGTTGGCGAACTGCTCTTCACCTTCCACATCATGCTGTAAATTTTCGGTCTGTGTTGGGGCGGAGTTGCTGTCGGTTTGGCCTAAGTGGGAATTTCGGAAGGGGCCACCTGCTTCAGAGTAGCCCGTTTCCTCTGAAGGACACCAGTCGTCACCCGCAGTTCACCTTGTTCCCAGGACGGAAGAGAACATGCATAAGTCCCCGTGAGACGGCCTCCTTGTTCTAAAAACCTTTCTTGATTGTTCTATTTAAAGATGCAATCATCAGTTTTGTCTTCGTCCAGGTGATGAGCGGGTCTAGACTGCGCCGCTGCCGCCAACCAGTTCCGTTTCCTTTTACTTGAAAACTTTTTAGACAAACAGCAGGTTTCTCATATTTGAAAAATCACTGTTCTCCAACTTGAGAATTTTCCTTCATTTCTTTACACCTTGTAAAATCTCGGCCTTCGTTCACAGCGGGACGCCAGCTGTCCAAGAGCGTTCGGCTGCAGTGGTCATATTGATTTAAATTATTTTCCATTTTTGCAGAGAGCCTTCAAAACTATTAATTAAGCTCACTGTGAAAAAGAATTTTACAAACACGTTTACTTAGTTGTAGCAAAAATAAGTCTATTTTAACAGATAGCTTTGTTTTTGCATGTTCCCGTCTGAAAGGCGTAGGTAGTGCATGTTACAGTTTGTGTTACAGGCTTCACCGCCCTCGCCCTCGGACAAGCCGGGATCTCGCGCGGCGCGCACGCGGGTGTTCTAGCAACACTACAGTAAGTTCTGTTACAGATCCGTAAACTTGTCAGTTTCCACTTGCTCGCATTTTGTAAATACCGCACTACAAAAATCAACCCTCTAAGGAAGAAAATCTTTTATTTATGGTATTAAATAATTTCTACCGTAATCTTTGAACTCAAAACCAAGCAAAAAAATGTAGATACATAGTATCTATTTGGAACAAATTTTTGTAACTAATTTGTTTCATTTTTTTAAATAAAGACAACTAAAAAATCAATTTTCTAGGATTCCTTTAAAGCAAAATTTGAGTTTGTGGGGAATGCTGTGGCCCTCTGTAGGCCATTTAATGGAACTGACTGCTTCCTCCAGGAGGAGCGCTGAGCGGGATGCACAGGTTTTCGCAAGCCTTTCGCCGGCTCTCTACCTGCTAGCCAAGTGGTGCCCACGTGATCATTTCTGGCTTGGAAGCCCGGTCACTTGATCTGATGAGGACGGTGACCGAACGGGGGCGTGCTGAACCGGAAATGACGGACAAGTGACTTAAGCACCTGCTGCTGGCTCATCTTTTAATGGCGCCTCGGGTCTGCTCTCCGTCTTGCCAAGGACCCTCCAACAAGCCCCAAGGCTGTGTGTCCACAGCACCTTTTCTAGCTTTTACACTAACCACGCCACGGAGTGTAGCTCTCTGCACCGTCCACTCTTCCCGACGCCCTCGCCATCCCTGCTCCCCACGGCCTGGTACCTGAGTAGTACAGGTGTTCAAGACGCATGGGAAATGACTGGAGAGATCCTGTTTTTTCTTTGTACTGGTTGCCCGGCGTGCGCCGCTACCTGCATCCCAGGCTGACAGCTTGAAGAATGAAGGGAAAGAGAGGCTTGCTGGGCTTTTAGATCCTGTCAGTAAAAGCAGAGGTTTCTCCTCTGGGGCCGCTCTGTGCCTCAAGAGCTGTGTCAAGGACGTCATCTGGGGTCTACTCACAGCGAAGCCAGACCGCAGGCAGGGCTGTTTGGATCCGTCTAGACTTGCGCCTGCCCCTGCGGTCGGGGATGGAGCGCAGCCCCCCATGCGGTGTCCGTCAGCCACACGGGGCGGGATAGGGGGCAGCGAGCCACCGGGCCAGGGCCAGGACGATACTCACTAGGTTCTTAACACCAGGACGCAAACAGAGCACCCGAGAAGGAAGTGGTTTCCAGAGTTTGGCTTTATTTTGCAGTACAGAAATCATCTGGAGCCATCTGAGACAGACATCCCTGAAGCGGAGGCTCTGTCAAATCAATACTGCGTCGCAGCTTGGTCCGTTGAGGAAGCCACACCTGGGGTACAAAAGCAGCTTCTACATTTACCTGCTGTACCACAGATTTCTTTCCCCTTTGCTCTTACCAATTTTACCAGGTGAAAACACCGCACACAGGCTTCCTCCGGAATGACGCTCGGGTCTGGAGTTGGGTTAGAATTGTGGGCCCGCGCGACCCCAACCTGTGGCTGTGTTCCGTGGGCCCTGTCCTAACAGCTGATGGGACACAGATGTAGAGGGGCGGGGCCCACGCGGGGATGCTGTCCCAAGTCATGGACTATTCAGTGGGAATCTCAATGCCAATGGGACAGATGGCACGCGAATGGTGCCGCGCCGGCTCTCAAGCGGCAGAAGCACACGACCGCGGAGGCTACACTGATTAAAAGATACAAATACTGTATCAGGTGCTCTGTGTCAGGATCACGGGGTCGTCATCAAACTGATCCTTCACTAAGGAAAAAAGCCAGTATCGGTTAAACTGAACAGAATGTGGTAACCTGCCAATCCGGAGGAGCCACGCCGTGAGAACGAGTTAATACATGATATTAGGAAGGGGAGGAGTACGGACTGGGACAGCGATCCGCGGGCGCCGCAGGGGTTACAACAGCGACTCCGGACGGTGCGCGGCCCGTGCCAGCTGCGTCTGTCCAAGACGGGCGCGCGCGCCGCTTAGTCTTCCCCGTAGATGTCGTTTTTCTTGCGCTTCATTTCCTCAAAGTCGAACTCGGACCCGGTCATCCTCTTGTAGATGTCTTTGATGTCGTCGCAGGTGGTCTCGAAGTGAGTGGTCGCGTCATAGGTGCGGGAAATAAAGATCTGAAGTGACATCAGAGACACGGACTTGGCGACGATGGCCCCGGCGACGGCCACGCCCAGCGCCCGCCCAAGCCCGCACACTCACCTGGCTCTCCGTCCCCAGGTCTTTCGGTACGAGGAGGTCACTGATGCTCACAAACCTGGAGGGAGGAAACGGAGGCCGCGTGTGAGCCCACCACAAGCCCACCCTCAGCTCCGCCCGCATGTCCCAACCCCCAGCATGCAGCTGGGGGCCGCGAGTCGGAACTCGTGTCACGTCAGCTCATCTCCACAAACACGTCACTCACTTCTGTTCGATTGGTTCCAAAAGCTCCAAAGCTGGTCTGATTTCCTTCTCGGGCTCCTTGGTCTCCACGGTGGTGCTGACTATGGCGATGTACTTGCCCTGCGCGGCCACGTTGTGCGCGGAGGAGATCATGCAGACGTAGATATCTGCGGGCGAGGAAAGCCACCTCACCTCCCGGCCCCAGCCTCCGGCCCGCCCCATTCCATTGAGCCGGGCCTTCAGCTTCAGGGCTACGCGGAGGCCAGCGGGGCCCTCCAGGAAGTATGCCCGCATCCAGCCACTTCTCGCCGACTGCAGGCCACAGCTCTCCCAAGCCAGGAGCTGCTGGGCCTGGACCGCTACCCAGATGCCGCCCAAACCTGACTGCTCTGGAGTCTTCCTCCCCAAGGCCAGCATTTAGAAAGGCTTTCCAACAGCTAAGAAAGGATTTACATAAAGGACCAAGTTTCTCAAGCAACCCGCAGATCAGCACAAGCTGTTCTTCGGTCCCACGGGTTCTCCCTGCCCGCGCGCTGCTCAGTAAGTGCCTCACCGCCCCCCCCCATCGGAAGGTCGCCGCCAGCTCCTCCTCTCTCGAGGCTTCTCCTCAACCCTGGGGTCTGCCTGGGCCCCCTTAACATCCCTTTGTTGCAATCCTAATCTTAGGTGACCCTGGTTTCTTACATGGAAAAATAAATACAGATAGCTCTGTTTAAAAGCTGATAACCCTTTTTAGTTGAATTTTCAATAAATAAAAAAGTTAGGCTTCCGCCTGAAAGAATGGTGGGGAAAGGTAGGGGAGATGAAAATAACTGCTCAACGCAGAGAGATGAGGAATTAGTTTTAGAAGTCAGTCCCATTCCTAACCAGAGGAAGCTGTTTTCTGGCACACTGCTAAAATCAAATTTAAGTATGAGCTCGACAAATAACGACATAAAAGCACGGTCACTGGCTCAAAACCACAGTGGGATTGGGTCACCTAATAAGCAAGAAACCCCTGCAGGCCAGTGTTTGAGCCAGGAGACACTGTGACCGCTCATCCAGTCTAGCCTCTCAGTTCATCCTTCTAGAACGAGAGACTGGAGGTTCAAGATGGGGGACTAGGGAGGGCGAGGCAGGGCTACAGGACTAATGTGTGCCTTTCACGGTGACGACTTAGGATCTCTCTGAGCTAAATCCGTCACATCTTGTTTCCCACAGGTGACCTAAGTTTCTTCACAGAGCAAACAAAATTAAAAATCCGGGATGAAACACACAGCAGATTCTAACAAACTTCTATAAACATCTGCTGATCTTCAAAACTCACCTGACTTCCGATTGACCTGGTTCTGGGGAATGATGATCTGGCAGGAGTTGGCATCGTTGGTGTTCTTGATCGGGTGGCTGAGGATGCAGATGACTCTGACCACCTGGCCCACCTTCTCCACCCGGTCTTTGACGTAGCTGGGGTCACAGATGAGCTGCTTACAGCGAGCAACCTGTACCGAGACGTTGAGGTCCCATTGACAATAATCAGTGTCCAAAGTTTCTAGATAGAATACTAGTGCCATTGTCCCTTTAATACCATCTGTCACCTTCATAAGGTTAACCGGAAGTTATTCTTGAACCACAGGTAACTGAAAACTAGTTTTGCCAACAATCCCAACAAACTCTCCTGGGAAAGATCCATGGATTCGGAGCCCTGCTCAGGTGTGAGGGAACTGTGCACAGTGTTACGAGGTTACAGGTTTCAGAATCAGGCAGACAGCTTTCAAATCCTGGCTGTCCCTAACCTCAAACGTCATTGTTAGGATTCAATGAAATACTCTATTTAAGGGCCATTGTCATACGTGACTGTGCCCAGTAAAAAAATTCTGTGATGGGCCTGAGAGGAAGAGCTGTGGGCAACAAAATGGGATGACGCTGCACTGAAAAGTCCTCAGGTATGGATGAACTCCTCCCAACAGGTCCCTGTTCTCTAACACCCATCCTGCGGGACGCACAAGGGAGTTACAAAAGATCTGCAGTAATGAAGGTTCGCTCAGAGGGCCAACCGGTGAGTACAGATTACGTGGCCTGAACCATGGAATACCGTTCAGGGACACAATATTTTTCTACCCGTAGCTCTAGAGCAGCTCTAACAATCTTAAGAGTTGTTAGTTCATCAATATTCACTTCGAATCAGGGAAACTCTACTTGGAACTCCACCTGGCCAGCTCCACAGCTAAAACCCTTATTAAATAATAAAATGCTCCGTAATCATCAACCCCAAATTCAACCAATAAATTTTAAATGGTATAAATAAAGCTAAATTTCAATGAAAATCCAGGACACAGGCACCAACCTATACTACATAAACACAGAACGTGTACCACTAAGACTTTATCCATAATGTATTTCTCAGTCTTAAGCAATAATCAACATTATAGAAAGTAGTAAGATTAAAAAAAAATAAACTGCATCTTTAGCTCGTCCTTAGTATAACAAACCATAAAATGTGAAATCCAGCATGGATGCCCAAACCACACTACATCAGGCCACATTTTCTTCACAAGAACACAGTATTTTTTAAATTGTGAAAACGCTACTTACCTCTCCTTCAGACTTCACACCAATCACTTTTCCATCCTGCACGATGATTTCTTCAATGGGTTTATTGAGCATGTATGTACCACCATAAATGGCACTTAGCCTAAAAAAATGTTAGAGATGACAATTTATAACTGTGTCAACTACTAAAGTTTTTCTTAGATCTTGAGTTCTAGGCAATGTATATTTGCTCAATTTCCTTGCGGAAGGTGTTTATTTAAAAGTCATTAAAGCTACGATTACAGAAGAGAGTGAGAACCAGAAATGAAATCTCCCATTTACAGTTTGGAATACCAAGTCCAAAAACAGCAGTGACCAGTGATGGGGAAACAG